TCTCTCCCGAGTCCTTCTACGATCACGATCGACAGAAATATGTACCTGCTCATCTTTCTCGAATCTCTCCGATCGATTACTCGAAACACACGGACGACGAATGTGTCAGCGCTGTTCGATCGCCGAACAGCTTGGCGCCAAGCGACGCGAAGAAGAGGAAGAGGAAGAGGAAGAAGAAGAAGAAGAAGAAGAAGAAGAAGAAGAAGAAGAAGAAGAAAAAGAGGAGGAGAAGGAGGAAGGAACGGATAAAGGAACAACAGAAAGAAAAGAATGCCAACAATGTCGCGGTTTATCTGCGCGTCCTTGGCTAATCTCTGTCCGTGAAAGATTACCCTATCACCGGGAATTGTGCTGTGTCTCCGACGCTCGATATACGTAAGCGGTTCTATCACCTCTATCGTCTCTATCGTCTCTATCGTCTCTATCGCCTCCTATCGTTTCTCTCTGTCCCTCTATCCTTTCCCCAAGAGTCTTTTCTCTTGCTCCAACAGAGTAGCTTTTCACTCTCCTCTTTCTTCTCCGTCTCTACTCCCAGTTTCGTATCACGCTCCCCGTGATTTCCCTCCTCCCCCTCCTCCTCTTGTTCCACCATTTTTATAAGAGCTCCTTCGTTCCTCTCTTCCGTCAACCCTGCTCTCATTATCATTTTTTTTTTTTTCTTCTCTCGCGTCACCCCCTTCCCTTCCACAGACGAATTCTTCCCAGCCAAACTCGTTCGACTTGGCAGCTAAAGACCAATGCCGTTACCGATGGGCACTCGCGTTCGAGGACAGTCCGATAACGCAATCGGTCGGTGTACGAACGAAATATTTGTAGGTTCTCAATTTGGCCGCGATTGACGCATTTACACCAAAGAAGAAAGAAGAGCACGAGGGGAATGAATGAACGAAGCATGGACAAAGATCGAAGCTAAAAACATATTTCAAACGCATGGCTCGAAGCTAGCACGTACCAGCCGAGTTTGTCGAATCGAACGTACAGCTCGGCTCGACGACGACGACGACGACGATGACGACGATGACGATGACAGTGCCGATGACAACGACGATGACGGTGGACGTCGTTATGGCGGTGGATAGCGGCGCCAGTGGAAAGCAAAATGCAAACTAACAACAAGACTAGCAAAGGAGGAGAAAACGAGGCTAAGCAGGACGATGCGCGCGTTACGTTGGGTCATGCTGCGAAGCGTTATCGCAGACCGGCGGTCGGCCGATAGCTTATCTAAAGTAGTTGCACACCGACAGTGGTTGCCAACTCGCTCGTATCGCGACTCTGTCAACTTCTCTCCGTTCCATTGAAAATTTCCGACGCCGTTTAAGACTTGACGCCGGTTCCAGTCTGTCGCCTACTTGCCAACGATATCTCGAAATATCGATCAGCAAGCAAAATCGAAAAGCGACCCGAGTGCATGATACGAGACGAAATGACGGAAGGGACCGCCCCGACCGAGTAAACCAGAAAGAGAGAGAGAGAGAGAGAGAGAGAGGGAGGGCAGATTCTCCAAGTAAAACAAGCCAAACGTTCGATATATCATTGCCCAAACTAAACACCACGCACAACGCTCGACCGTGCACTTTATCCACGTCCACGCTAGAGTACTGGTAGCAAAGGACAGACTTTTCGAGTCATTACGAGATGCCTGGAAACGCGCCGATACACCCAGGCTAGACTAAACTCGACAAGGAAGAGACACGGCTCTTTCTTCGCCGGCCGATGGTGGATATATCGCGAGATAACTAATATGTAGGTAGCTATCTGTCTGGTTGTGTCTGCTGGTGTATCGCCCCGATGTCACGTTGCATCGGACATCCAGATTCTGAAATGTGCAGAAATTCAGTTTAGTCGGCCGCGATCGATCGCGGTTTCAGTTGCGACGAACATCCATCCTCTCCGTTTCCCTGACACTTTTACGACGAGTTTGTACAAAGAGAAACGAACGCGTTCGCTTGTGTTTTTTTTTTCGTCTTATCGTCGGAAACGAGAAGTCGTGTGTATTTCCAAACAACTTGCACGTAGTACCAATGTCTATCGCGAACGCGTCGACCAACGCGTCCTCCGTCTAATAGTTTCTCTAGCAACGCTCTAGCATCTAGCCTTCTAAATTTTTAGCCTCTTCTCTAGTCTTCTTTTAACTTCCCTGCTCCTACGTGAACGTTATATTATACATTTGCTTGCTCGCACGTGCACGTATGTATACGTGCGTTAGTTTGTTCTTTCGACTAATGACAGTGCAAGTAACCTTGAACACGCTACGTGTACACGTAAAAATTCACCTCGCGAACGTTACGTAGCGTTACGCTTGCTGAAAGATACACGGTGAAAAAAAATGAAGAAAAGAAAGAAGAAACGAAGCGAACGAATCTACGTGTTTCGATCGGATCGGTGTATCGAGGGACCGATCGAACCGTAAACATCGAACAAGAAGCAGCAAGCGTAAATATGCTTGCAAGTATACGCTTGTGTGGTGGGTTTGAGCAAACGAACGTGGACTCCAGCTACGTATGCACCTAGGTCGGAATATACATTTCGTTCGCGATCGTTTGCGAGTTGCCATTTCTAAGCGACCGAACCGTTTCGAGAAACTCGAAAACAATAGGCAACCAAACGGATCGTAAATAACACGGTACGCGGTATGCGGTATGGTAAAGAATATTTGCACGCTATAGAGTACAGAGCACAGAGCACAGCGTACAGGGCGTATAGGGTGCGCGATATATAAAATCGGTACACGTAATTGCCATTTGCTAGAGCTTTAAGCGATAGAAAAGATCAAAAACGAAAGTAATAGGTACAGACATGTACATAGCTAACGTATCTAGCATAACTATCTCATTTCTCTATAAAGTTTCTGACGATTTTCTCAAATTTCTGCAAATTTCTATCCCACGTATGGCCGATTGTGCCGACCAATCGCAGCGAATCGCATCAAATCAGAAAAAACGTTTTGTTGAAATTCAAACGAGTCGTCGTTACCATTTATTGTTATTGAACTTTACGATTACGACTGACGAGATTGCCAGAGACAAATGCCGATGCTAGTTCTCCAACTCTGATAAGGGAACGCATCGCTGTTTTCAAAGGACTGAAAACGGCGGGCACAATTGTATCAAACACATCGGGAGGAATTAAGGCGGAGCAAGCCAAAAGACAGGAATTCTTTTCAGCATCGTTACCACTAACCATTCGCAGCGTTTCATCGTAGCGGCCATTTTCGAGCATCCATGATACAGCGCATCCTCCTCCTTTTTCTCCTCCTCTTTTCTCTCTTCTCAGCTCAAGTACGTACCTGTCGTGCCGGTGACAACTGAATGCACCACAATGCACCACAATGCACCAATGCACCCACCAATTATCGTTGAAAATCGACACGCGACAGCGTTGATTTTCAATTCCTCTTACAATTTACTTGTTTTTTCAGGTTTTTTTTCAGTTTTATTTCAGTTTTCCGTTCCATCTTTCTCTCTTTCTTTTTTCATTCATTCATTCGTTCGTTTATTCTCTCATTCGATTCTGTCTTTCTTTCTTTTCTCTCTCTCTCTCTCTCTCTCTCTCTCTCTCTCTCTCTCTCTCTCTTTCTTTCCTTCTTTTCTTCCAGACACGAAGCGCCATTGAAGTTTTTCCTTGAAAATCGACGGAAACGATGGTTCATATAGACGGACAAATTCTACGGTAACGGATCTACGTTTCAACGTTTTACTACGCTAATATCGTGCTATTGTTGCGTACGTTGACCCATGACGACGCAACACGTCCGTCGGATGGTAGAAAAACTCCGATAACAGGATTGGACTTGGACCCTGTAAACTAACATTGGAACTTTGCGTCCACAGCTTTTACACAACTCGAAAAATTCCATCTGCCGACCGAACGACAATTCCAATTCTAATTTCAATTGTAATTCCAGTTCCAATTCCTCATCTCCTCGCACCCTGTCCACGAACAGACCAACACAATTCCTGCGAAAACCTAACCCCACCCCCCACCCTTCCCCCGACATCATCTAATCTACACGCTACAGACTTAAAATTCGATTATTATTGCTGTTAGGCCGTTTGCCAAGAGACAAATGGAAAATGAAGAATTATCAAACCATCCGGTCTAAAAAAAAAAAGTTATCAACCTGTACAACATCCGTGCGATTCATTTCCTTTATTTTCTTTCTCATCCTGTTTAATCGACCCTGCATAGTTCACAGTATGTACCTACAATTCGCGTAATATTCGATCTACACAGAGCAGCACCGTGGTCGCCAAGTTTTCCCAACGAATCATATTATATTTTCTTTTCTTGTTCCAAAACAAAGTTTTCGCGTGCAACAATCGCGAAAGTCGTATGCCTACTCAAGTGCCTACTTTTGTATTGTCTATCTATCTATCTATCTGTTTTACGTAGGTACGCACGTACACACGTACGTATATGTGCGATAATTATTCGAAAAATTCAAGGGACCGATCGTCGCGCCGTGTCGAACTTAGAGCCATTGACGAAAATCACGTTGCCCGATTCACAAACGCAACGACAATAACAGTTGTTAACGCGTACATCGCGTTATCGTCAACAGTAATAGAATTATCACTCTGATATCCAACGTATATACATCCCCCACGATCGCCTCCGGTTTCCAGTGACTCGTAGACTACCGCGGCCCGTTGTTAACCGATTCTTTCCGACGCTCTCGAAACTCGCACAGTTTCTCCTCGATTTTTCCATTTCCCCCTTTCGTTTTCGCTTTGCCATCTTTTTCTTTTTTTTTTTTTTTTTTATTTTTTTTCGTAGGTACTCACCACGTAAGTATATATCGCCGTGACACGCACTTGTATCGTACACGGTGTCTACGTACATCGCATCATCGTCTTTTACTTTTTACCAACGCTTTTTCCATTCTGCCCGATTAACGCGCCGCAAATTCTTTGCAATCGTTGCTAATCGTTAGTGTCGACCGACTCGCCAAATCGATCAAACACGGATCAAACGCGAAATCATCGAGTCAGCTCGCTCACCGTATTCGTTGTGCCATCCATGTTTTGCCATTTCTTCGCGGATTTCGTCATCGGTCTTTCCACTCTTCATCCCTCTCCCGTTCTTTCCTGCTGTCGTGTTGATGCTTTCGCGCAAACCTCAGCTTCCTTTTCCAACCTTTCCCTCTCTCCCTCTTTCTCTCTCGCTTGAATCGTTCTTAAAATCGTCTTTTTAACTTTCGTTCGTCGAATCGAAAGAGTTGCTCTTTTTCTGTCGCACTTTTTCTCGCAACACCACCCTGTTGTATCACGATTGTTCTTGCTTACACAAAACAAGCAACATTCGACAAGAATTCGCAGCAAACACACATTTATCCGTTCCAGTCGGCAAAATGAGACAAATTACTTTATACTTGTAAAATTCCTTTCGCCGTATACCGATTAGGATCGTACAAGTACGCGCTGACCAACTGCTCTAGGATCGCGGTTAGTGAGGCTAGTGTGCATTATGTATACAGAGGAGAACCAGTGAACAGAGTGGAGCTCTAACAAAGAGGGCACTCGACAGGAATGAGAGAACAAGAAAGCGATAGAGTGAGAATTAGAGTAAGGAGGACAGAAATGTGCATACGCGCATGCATGCGTGTATGCGTGTGTACGTATATAGGCGCGTATATACGATCGTAGCTCTATGAATGATCGAATCAAATCGGATAGAGTTAAATCGAGTTAAGTAGATAGCGTTCGCTCGAATCGGATTGGGTTTGGTCGAATCAAGTCGAATCGAGTCGAATTCAGATTGGACGAATCGGTCGAGCACAGACTCGGACGCATCACGCTGCAGCTTCGAAACGGGGAGGAGGAGGAACAAGCTTCTCTTCTCAAAGAGCAAGAAAGAAGACAGTGAATGGCTCGAAAGGATAAATTTAGTCTGACGACTGACCGAGGAGATCTTTATTTCCCCCATGATTTCCGACGACTTGCTCGCCGATTCTTCGACGGAGCTATCACGAATAGCTATCACCAAGGAAAACTACACACCATAAAGTCGATCGCATCGTCGCTTCGTTGATCGACTTTGATCGGCGGTTGTTATGTACGCGTCTCTCGTACTTACATGTTCTCGTCCCACGTTCACACACGTCGATCCTCCTCCTCCTCCTCCTCCTCCTCCTCCTCCTCCTCCTTCTCCTCGTTCTCCTCTTCTTCCTCCTCGTATTTGTGTCGTAAAAAATGCGCATGCGCCTCTTCCTTTCCTTTCCAATGCATTTTCCTTATCAATCGTACGTGTATCTATGTATGTACATGCAAACTTATATTAATATGTATAATCGTTGCTTCGCCTCCATTACCTCACCCCTTTGTCAACTCCTCGTTTCCTTATCACTATCCCTGTCTGCTCGCCTCCTCCTACTCGGTTACTCCTTTTTTTTCCTTTTCCTTTTCCTTCTCCTTCTCCCTTTCCTTCTTCTTTTTCTTCTGTCGATCGACGACGATATCGTCGCACCATCCATTTACCTTTGTGCCTTTCTGTATCCGATTAATTTACGCTGTTGCCCTTCCAACTTCAACTACTAATCTCGTCATTGTACGTGTAACGCACACTGGTCAATCGATATTCCTTTGACCAATATTTCAATGAAATATCTAGACGAGTTGCACATTTAATCAATGTACACGAGTACCTACATATTGTGCGTTAACTTACGCGTTACCTACGTTGATCTCATATACGTAATGACGTACTTGAAAATGTCAATAATTCTCAAGTTGATATTCCCGTTTTTCATTTAATCCGCATTACGTTTTTATTTGTTACACGAATATATAATAGCTTATAGAAGCAAACGCTTACTTTTGTAAACTTCACTTCTGTAAATACGATGATACATTGTCATATAACGTCGCTCATTATTTTCAAAGAGTCACAAAACAGCCGTTATCGCATCGGTTAATTGTCGGCGTAAGAGCGTTTGCGCGATATGAATCTTTTCAACGAACCAAAAATTTTCCCCCGGAATCCAGATTAATCCTTCGCCTGCTGTGCCGGAATCATAGTTTTGAGTCGGATGTCTGTCTATCACTGTGTTGGTACTGTATCGGTGAGGATCTCGGTTTCGAGCGACCGTTACACTCTGTAGAGTATCGGTGAGCCGTCCGGACGACCCTAAACATGACTCCAGCACTGGAAGCCGAGGTTCAATTGTAGGAGGATTAGGCTGTAAACTCCAGGGTTAGTCAACCGTGGCGCATTTCAACTGGCGTATAATGAAGTAAGTTATTTAAACATTTCTAATGGCGTATAATAAAGTAAGTTATTTAAAGTAAGAATAAATATTAGAGTAAGATATTATTGTTACTATTATTTATTGGAGTAAGTCATTTTTGTATTTTTCCAAAATTCTCCTTATGTATGGTATTTACTATTTATAAACACTCTTTTGTTGTTAAAATAATGTAGTGGCTCATCGATGCTCATTTGAAAAACAATTAGCAGTAGGGTTTGGCCATTCCTAGAGTAAGTAGACGTAGGCTTAGCTTAAAAATCTCTTCAATCAGCGATCGGTGCAAACGATACCAACAACAATGTATACGTATACTGTGTCTATATATACAAGCACGAATGAAGAGCCATTCAAGTTGTTTTGTGATAACCTTGATGTCAAAATGATTCATATACTGTCACATGACATTTTACAATTTGTTACGTTTGTTTCATGCTTTTCCGTAGTATATTTGACTGCTTTTGGTAAAATACGTTTATCATTATCTGAGGAAATCTCCTCTGCGAATAAATTTCTTCAACCGAGTTAATCGATCGCTTTGCTCGATCACCATTTGGAAGTTGTGTATCTACTTATATCAAAACACAAGGACGTCATAAACATTAAACATAGTTTAACAAGCTCCTTTCTGCCCGTCTTTGGCAAGATTGACCATCGAACGGACCGATATATACCGATACTAATCTGCATTATTCTCTTTACACGTACATGTACATATATATATATACACATATCCAATATTTCGGTTAATAAAAAAAAAAAAAAATTGTGCTAAGCGGAAAAATATTTGACATAGAATTGAGTCTTTTGCGGTTGTATAAGAAATATTCATCAACGACACTACATCGTCAAAAATTAAGAAAGTTACATACATGCACGTGGTTTTGTCAAGGTTCGTGCTTTGTACTTCACAACGCACTCAACACGGTACGGTCGAGCTCGTATTGCCAGCCTTTCTTAACTTCTCTCTGCTGATCGCTTATTGTATTCGCCGGGAAACAATCAACATCTTCACGCAAGCTTAACTCCATCTATGCAAACTAGTCCGTGACACCAAACTAGTCCATTCACTGCTGTTGAAAAAAAATTCAGCCTAAATTCTTTTTTGAGCCACTATGTATATACATATATATGCGTGCATACATAAATCTCTCTCGTAGGATAATCTTTATCGGTTATCGTAAAAATGAGTGTTTCATTGGCGAATCTTCAACCAACTCTTGACAAACGATACATTTCATGACAATTCCATCTCTCTGCATTCGCCTCTCTTAAACTGTGGACTCGAGAAAATTGGCAAAGTATTAGTATCTACACAGTAGTGTTATACAGCTCAATTCTCTTCTTCTTCTTCTTCTTCTTCTTCTTCTTGCTTGTTCTCCTTTTTTTTTCTTTTTATTCAACGTGAGAACAACTCGTGTTATTAGCTTAAAATAAAAATGGGCGATTAGAGAGTCTGTCAAAGGTCAACGTCGTTCAACGATATGTGCGCGCACGCGCTACTTTATTTTCCCAAACGTCTTTACACCAGTATACGTAAGCACGACAGAGCAAGAGAACAAAGTGTATCGTAACCGATTGATAATACAGGCCGCTATTTAAGTTGATATTTCTACGGATCGACGATGCCTGTATGCTACTCATTCTTTTATAATACTTTCACTTTTGCTTTTCTTTTCGTTTACGTTGCACTTGTAAACTCTCCAGCGATGTGGATGGAATTATTCACTCAAGAAAAACTGACTCGATAAATTATAATATATCAGAACGTAGAATTTACTCGTGACCCAAGAGCCTTTCTTCGAAAAATATAATAAGAATTTCAGAAATTGCAATAAATAACATTGAAAAAGTAACGTTACGTTACTTTTATATTCGATTTTAATTAAATTCTCCATTCAATACATTTTTCTCCTAATACAAGTCATTATTTTTTACGACTGTTTAAATTAATCCTGTTGTGTACACATTCATAATAAAATGCTTGCACTTTTCTGAAAATAAAGATCGGCGATACTATCAACACGTTTCCTTATATTTGAAAAACAGTACTACAACGACAGCATTCTTTTTATCAAATGTCACTAATGATTTTTCTTGGGAACTTTACAGATTGGAACCAACGGCCATCGATGCTGTCAACGAACGGTTTAGGACGTAAATCGATCTCAATCGCGTATAGAAGGAATAACGAAGGTCGCATGCCTTCATGTAAAGAAACATACACAATTGGGAATACCTGTTGATACGATGTTTCTTTAATAAAAAATAAACAAACAAAACGATCTTATATGAACACGATGGTGAGCAGATGAGGTAATCAATCAACAAATTGAAGAGAACAAGTTGTCGAGCAGTACTCTCAAAAATCGTGATACTCCATTATTTTCCTTACCGACATTTAACTAGATTATGTACGCGACCCGCAATCATTTATCCGCTAATCGTTTTTAACCAATTATCAATCCACAACCCAATCTAAATTGCGGTTTACTATGATTTATCATACCACTTAACGCAAATGTAAATGGTAATGGTTGTAATTTTTTTTCCAAAACAGCACCCACTGTCCAATTTGTATCTATGCTTCCTATAATAAAAATATGATTGTGTATTAGTATACTTTAGAAATGAATGTAACATACAAACGATAAACGAACGGAACGGAGCGGAAGGAAATGTGAAGGACTGATGATATATAAAAATGGTGAATGAATCAATGATAGAATCAATAATTTAGAAGAGGTAGCTACTTGCTACCATACCTCTAAATATTAAGTCGGCTTTGGGTAAATCAACTTGGTAAGCAATAGTTCCCGTGGATTCCTGTATTCGGCTGTTAATTTCCAATTCTACACCAACTTGCAACTGTTGACTAGCTTTTTGATGGAAACACAAGTGACATCCAGACAAACCTATCGAAAGACGATCTTGTTATTAGTATATTACAAATTATTTGTCGTTCACATCATAGATGATCGTATCGAGTTTTGTACATCACCCTTTACGTACCTAAACTACCACTAATCGTAGAATCTCCGTTCGTATACCTTCCAGCGGCTGAGAGAACAGCGACTTGACCTCCTGGTACGGCAGGGCCCCGTTGGTAAGCGAGTTCTCCACCCAATGCGACAGATGGAGTTACGCTTTGAAGATAATGCATTACGAAAACGCCTGAAAAAAAACATTTTGTTCCGAACCATAATCGTTTCTAAAATTTTACATAATCGATCTTTACCTCGCACGCTTACCAGAACCGTTAAGTATGTCCGGATTACCCAAGGTCAAAGAGACGGTATACGCGTCGCCACGATAATCTGTTGTCATTTGAACAGCGGTAAATTTACTTTTGTGTACTTGAGTAGCTAATTTTCCTCTTAGCTTTTCACCAAATTGATGAATAACATTGGCATTAAGATTTCCACTTGGATCAATATCACCTAGCAATACTGGATAAGCTTCCGAAGGTGCTATTTGTTGAGTACCGACATATGTTGCTCCAAATCTAAATTATTATCAATTATTAACCATCTCTATTCTTCAAGCATTCAATTTCACTATATTATGCAATAATTTTAACCATACCTGTATCCAGAGTGTGCAATGGAACTCATACTTATCGTGTGTGATATTTGAAAATGATTACTAAGACCTTTATTAAACATTAGCTTCGCACCCTCAAAGTTTGCGGGAAATACATCTGCAAATACATTGATAATTCATATTAAAACTATATACATAATACAATTATTTCCGAAACAACAATGTGAAAATAAGATAAACTGTGATCATATTGCGAAAATCGTATCACGAAAGACGAAAGAGTAAGAAATATTACGTGGGTTACGTGATAATCGAATTGATGTACAAATACCTTTGCACTTCTTGTGAAGATCCTCGATTGTACCAGGATTTTTCAAACCGTCAGAAAAATTGCTAGACGACTGTAGTATCTCCGTAGAATCTGATTTTTCTAAATTTGGTAGTAAACCTGAGGTTGGAGGCGGCGGCGAAGGTGGAGGAGGTACGGAGGCTGCTAGTACGTTTCCCATTTTTCTCGATTTTATACGTAAGAACTTCAATAATTTTGCCTTCTCCTCTGTGTAAATGGTAGAGTACTCTAATTGTTTCAGCCGCTGTGTGTTCTTACGCAAAGACTCTAAATATTTACTATATATATACACAAAAATCCACAATGAAAAATCTTCCGATTAAATGAAACAGCGTGCTTCTACCTAAGTCGCCATTTGTAAAAGACAGCCACTGCCGCACAGACCAACGGATTTCTCTTTTCTATGAAATGTCCCTATCAAAGCACGATATATGTATTAGGTGAATACGCAACGAGCGATCGGATAATTCAAATTTAAATTTCCAATTCCAACACACATCACCGTCTTTTACACACTTGTTATCAATTTGTATGTACAAATTCTTATTTGTGTGTATCTATAACGTGATACGACAGTAATTAATCATAAAAATCTTTTTTCATGTTTAAACGACTCGTATGCGTATTATCACATTTCCCTATTCTGATTGGTTATATACGTTGCTAGTATCAACGTTTATTTTTTCTCCGATCCGATTTAATCACAAACGTATTCGAAATACGATTTAACCTGAAATAAAATTAAAAGTTTTTTTCTATCTATAAAATAATATTCAAACAGTGCTATATATAAACGATTTTTTTGACTCTCATTATACATAATAAAATATAAATAATTCTTATTATGTTTCTCTGTTACTTTGTAATAATTCTTGTTTCAAACAAAGCCTATTATATAACTTATGTTCCTTAAGTTAATATAAATGAACAATAAACAGTAATACAGTTGGCATCGCAAATGCAACATTTTATTTTCCTCTACACATACATGTACACATATGCACATACAAAAGCATACGCAATTTGTAACTTAAGTATCCCAATTTATAATTTAAAATGCGTATACATTGCATTTGTATATGTTATACAAATTTTGTGGCAATGGCTAGTAATTTTGTATAATCTGCACCTTTACTATGCGTATTCCTTCTCATGATTGTTCTCAGAATATGAGGAATTGGTACATGAATCCTTGTGCCTAAAGGCGTTCCACTGTCATCAATGAGAACTATATTATTGCTGTCAAATCTTGGAACTTTGGGATTTTGACGCTGCTTCAAACCAACCAATATACCTTTTTTCTTTTCACCTTTTATGGCAACTAGTACTCTGTCCCCTATATTGATTATATCATTATCAAAACATTTCAACAATTTACATGTCGTCTTACCTATATAGCCAACTCCAGTTTTGTTATAAACATGAATACAACGTGGTGGTTTCCCTTCCATCATAGCTGCTTTCCCAATTTCACTATTATCCACAACTCTTAATCTTGTCAATTTTATTATTTGATTACATACTGTTGATGTAGAAACACTTCTGGATATAACATTAAATACTGTACCAGGTATAAACATTGTTACAATGTTTTCTATAATAAAAAGTACCAACATTAATTCGCGAATGAAATAATAATTATTATTATTGAATATTGATTAAACTCTTCAATAACATGACATTATAACGTTAGCAACATAAACTTCGTGTAAAAGAAAAATGCGGAAATCGTACAATTTAAAGCTGGTTTATTAAAACGATCTCTATCGCATTTTACTTTCTAGATTTACGTATTATAAATCTCTCTAACTCGCAATTCAATTAACGTTTGACACTTATAAAAAAATAAAGGAAGACCTAAACACAGAAATTGTCTATCTGTTTCAATTTAACAACAGTTGGTAGAACTCAGTTAATTTATCTGTAATTATCGGAAGAAACAAAAAATGTTTTGTTTCAAATTTTAAAAAGAAATAATTAGCCTTTGAAACAAGCAAAACATAACCTATTGTAAAGTCGGAACATAACCTACCTGCAACTTTATCAGGAATCACGTTCTTCTCACTTACTAAAATGAATAAGATTCAATGTTATCAGAGGACAATTAAACAATTATATCTCACTTATGCATCTCAAATCAATTCAGTGTATGTCCGAAATTATTGTACAGAAGGAGAATCAAGCAAAACTACCGCAAATGTGAAGGATCAAAATAACAGTGACAAAAATGTAGAAGCTAGCAATTTCGAACAAACTTTTCAATCGCTTAACGATATTGAAATCAAAAATAATATGGCAGTTCCAAGACGTAATACTTTCGCTTCGTTACTTCGACATTCTAAATTTATAGATGTAAATATCAAATGTTTTACTCTATTTCATAATCTACATTTATAGCATATACCACAAATATGTACACACACACACACACACATATATATGTTACTCTATTCCAAATTTCTAGTTTTCTATTCATATACTTCTACTGTACTAATTATGTTTCAGCTAGGAGATCCGGAAGGAAAAGTAGTACTAGGAGAAATTTTTCAGATTGTTAATAATGACTTATATATTGACTTTGGATGGAAATTCTATTGCGTTTGCAAAAAACCCCAAAAAGATTCTATGTAAGTTACAATCAAAGCCTTTATTTCAATAAGTAATAATGTGAATTCTGTTATTTCAGTCAATACATCAGAGGTTCAAAAGTTAAATTGTTGATAAAGGATTTAGAATTGTCCACGCGATTTTTAGGAGCATCTAGTGATTTGACACTTTCAGAGGCAGACTGCATTCTTCTTGGTTTAGCAAAATCTCCATCGGAAGTACAGTAAAATAACAATATTAAATAAATTAAATAAATGAAAGTTTTGAATTTAATATCTTCTCTTGTTATAGTATAATTAAAATTTACTCGTAGAACACAGCAAATGAACGGAAATCAAGGGAATAATAATTGTCAATAGTACTCTGATAACTGAAAAATATTCACTATCATGAAACAGTAATATTTCCAATAACAAACACTTTGGCATCAAGCTGATGAGTTATTATAACTTATCTTGAAAAACATAGTTATAATTGTTCAAAAAATATGTGATAATGAAACATATAGTTATATATATGAGTGTATATTGCAATAAAAAAAAAGATTAAAATTAAAGATTATTAAATTCTAATAAATTCTGATGATTACTATACGAATTTGAACTCAGATATAAAGACTTAAAAATAAAAGACAGTTTTACTTTTTATTTAATAATTAATACAAAATATAAGAAACAAAATTAATTGATACAATATGCAAAGATTTCTTACATATTTAACTTTGAAACATCTTTCTCAAAGAACAAAAGAAAATGGAAGTTGTGAAAAACTTTCAATAAAAGAGTGCGAATGTTATTTTATTGTTTTAATAATAATATTAACGCGTCGATTCTAATTTCGTGTATGATTATTATAATTAAATGTAATGAAAGCTATTGTACTTTAAGAAATATTGAAAAGTATTTAAGATCGATAGAATTATATATCTATGCAATAAATCTAATTACGCTAATTCTATCGATCGCATTGCGCGTAGTTATAAAAATTTTCGGAAAAAAGAAACTTTCGTAACATTGTCAAATAGCTATGCGTATTCTATTGTACAACTAATTTGCAGAAATTATAACTGCGAGTGTTCGTTATTAGAATTTTACATCCATATTTCGTACTAATCAAATATGGCGGGCTTTTATTTTCATTTAAACGAAGTTGCGCAGTTGCGCAAAACAGACGCGCAGAACACGTTCAAATCTGACCGTTATCGCTTTCAGAAGATTATTTATTAAGAATATATATAGATTATTCAATAAATATTAAATAAATGTCGTAAATTATTCAAAACAAGAAAAAAACATGTATGTTTATTGAAACGAATTAAATATTACCATATCGCAGTGACGAGATTTCAGATTTATCGTTTGTTCTTTTTAATACTTCAAAGTTCCATAACCAATAATTTGTACAAAAAAAAAAAAAAAATATCAAAATAAATAAATAAATGTATAAAAAGAACAAATGATTTCAAAATGAATCAATGATCTACAAATACTGAGCTACCAGTAACAGCGAAAGACGATCGAAGAAATAAAAAATATAATTATAAATCATAATAGTATTCTATAAATTATTGAGCAAAAACGTACGTTAATTAGATGACGTGGCCGGTGAAAGAATAACAATGAAAGTGCACAGTTAATAAACGTCAGATGCAAGATATCAGGTGAACACATCTTAACAACACGGTTCTAACTGACAAACCGACTAACTTTCTGCACAACAGTTCGTGTAACTAACTAATTTGATGGAGTGGGGGAATTCAAGGGTGCACGAATAGGATTTAGCTATTTTATGAAAGTGCAAAATGTACGAAATGTTTTCAACAATGAATCGTACGAAAATGTTTTCAACAATGAATATATCATATATCATATGACATATATATTTATGTATAAATATCTATGAAAGTATTCAGGTATTTGTAAAAACTTATGAATACATAGACATATATATTCAATATGAATATTTTAATCGAATATTTGTACGTATATGTGTATTAGAACTCTTTTAACCTTCGGATGTCGTGAATGTAGTGTTATTTTGATCCAGCTCATCGTTTTTTATTCTTTATTTTCAAATAAGATATTAAAAAATAATAACAGTAAAATATGTCACAAAACCATTGTACCACTAACTACAACTCCACTATTTGGGCACAGTGTCATTGCTTATTATTTAAACCACCGAAAGTTAAACGATGCTCACTGTTCCAAATTACATGTATCCAGAAAATGTAGAAACAAGTTTAAAAGCGTATTGACTATAGTCTTTACCTGACAAATTCTGGACAATTTCTTCTTACTATCTTTCCTGCCAGAACTGACACTTACGTTACATTCTAATATTATAAAATGATCGTGAAAAATTATATCGATTATTTTTGAGAATCGTGCAATTGCACATTTCACCATTTTATTGGCGCTGCAATCTTTATCTAATTGTAAGTTAAAATACGCGCGCATTTCGTACGAGATCACACGTTGTTTAACTATAGTAAAGAACGCAATTATTTTCTCTAATCCTCCTCATTTGGGAGATAAAATAAGATAAAGAAAAAAATTAATTTAACAAAGTGTCTATAATATTATTTTTTAAACTTTGATAAACTTAAGTCAAGTAAATTTATTTTCAATTTAAATTTCGTTAATTCAATGAAATAATACTTCTTCAAATGTAAATGATTTCTTCTATTATTCTTTCTACTAGTACTGTTCGAAATAACTGCGCCAATTAACTATTTTGGAATAAGAATAATGCTCCTAACTTTATCATGTTTTTATGATTCAGTGGGTCTAACTCTTATCTTTGCTGTAGCAACAGCTAAGAACGTAAAAAACATTCTGATTTTTTTCGATGTCGGTATTTCAGAATATGAGGCACAAAATTCTATATAATGTCATGTCTATTCTGTTCTTAGTCAATGGTAAAATACTTTAATGGTCAATATACAAAACAAATGATAAACTTTGCTTTGAAGATAAGACTCAGGAGAGTGTTTATCATTGTTACTGCAGTAGCAATTCACTTTAAGATTGCACCATGCATCTAACAGGAAAGATACAAATACCAATTTTACAGTAAGTAAATGAAGAAATTTCATGTAAAATGTTTTCCTGTATTAAATAATTATATACACATTCCCAATAATGCTTAGATGCAGTATGCTGATTTCACACAGAAATTTACATGTTTCAAAAGTCACCAGTGGCCGATTCAATAAAGTAAGAGAGAGTTTTTAATTTTCTTGAAAATTTTAAAAATTAATCAAACTTATATAGTTCTTTACTACATTATAGATATTAATTGCAAACAGAGGAGAAATAGCATGCCGCGTTGCAAGAACTGCTAAAAGATTAGGAGTAAAAACTGTAGCAGTATATAGCGACGTAGATAAAAATTCTTTACATGTAGAACAAGCAGATGAAGCATATTGTATTGGTCCTGCACCATCTAATCAGAGTTATTTAAGACAGGATAAAATTATTTCTGTGGCAAAAAAATCAAAGTGTCAAGCGATACATCCTGGTTATGGTTTTCTTTCAGAAAATGCAGAATTTGCAGAGCTTTGCCAAAAAGAAAATATTACATTTATTGGACCTTCAGCAGATGCGATTAAAAATATGGGAATTAAAAGTACTTCAAAAGATATGATGATAAAAGCTGGGGTTCCTGTTATAGCAGGTATACACTTCATAACATAAAATACAAGATGTTCCTCGCAACTGGTCCGAGCTATATAACATTAAAATGGTAGAAGATAGAGAAATTTCATGAGGAAAAATTAAATAGTTTCAAATGCTACATTATCTGATGCATAAGCCTTTCACAAGTTTGAAACTATAAAAAAGATGTCATTCTCTATAAAAAAAAAAAAAAAAAAGCATTGGAGTTCTTGTATTGGAAATTGATTAGTAGTATTGCTAAGATATTTTATTTAATTTTTCACATATAAAAAAATCACTTTAATTTTTCATACAAGAAAAAATATTACTCTACAAACTACCCTTTATACTATACTTCGACCAAGCAGCGAGGAACACTTTCTATCATTCAAGTATGATATTATATTATTAACAAAGATAGGATATCATGGAGATGCCCAGTCTAATGAAAGCTTACTACTGGAGGCGAGGAAAATAGGTTTTCCTTTAATGATAAAAGCTGTGTGTGGTGGTGGAGGAAAAGGCATGAGAATAGTTTTAAAAGAGTCAGAGTTTATCGAAGCTTTGGAATCTGCAAAAACTGAATCTGAAAAAGCATTTGGTGATTCGGCCATTTTACTTGAACAGTATATCAATAACCCAAGACATATCGAAGTACAAATTTTTGCAGATAAACATGGAAATGTTGTTCACATGTTTGAAAGAGATTGTTCTATTCAGAGGAGACATCAAAAAATTATTGAAGAAGCACCCGCAGTATGTGTATTTAAATTTTGTATGTGAGAGATCTGAATTTTTTTCAATATCATAAAAATCGTAATAATACAATGATCGTTCTGTTTTGTAGCCTGGTATATCAGAAAATTTGAGATCAGATTTAGGCGCAACAGCAGTTCGAGCGGCTAAAGCAGTAGGATATGTTGGCGCTGGTACCGTCGAATTTATAATGGATTGTGATCGAAATAGCTTTTATTTTATGGAAATGAATACACGTCTTCAAGTAGAACATCCTATTACGGAAGCAATTACAGGATTGGATTTAGTTGAATGGCAATTACATGTAGCGGCAGGAGAAGAACTTCCATTAAAACAAGCACAAATTAATTTTCAAGGACATGCCTTTGAAGCGAGAATTTACGCCGAAGTAATTATATCTTTATATATATAAATATAAACATATATTTTTTTGTTTTTTTTTTTAATAAGATAAATTCATATTTTCGATAAGATAAAATAACATTAACTTTATTGTCACTCAGTTTATTTCTGATATTCAGTTGTGAAATCTTATATCAATTGTATCTCGTAACAAACAGGAACCAAGAAGGAATTTTCTACCAGGCGCGGGTAAATTGTCGTACATGAGAATTCCAGAAGCCAATAATGAAACTATTAGAGTCGAAACCGGAGTTCGTGAAAAAGATGAAGTATCAGTACATTATGATCCCATGATCGCAAAATTAATCGTTTGGGGAAAAAATCGAGAGGAAGCATTGGCTATACTCAAATCAAAGTTAAACGATTATAACGTAAGTAAATTTTTAAATAAAATAATACATATATGTACGAATATTTACATTGTTTCCTGTACACATCTTTAGATAGCGGGGCTCAACACGAATATAGAATTTATCAAAGACTTATGTTCCCATTCGAATTTTCGGCAAGGTCAGGTACACACAGGATTCATAGAGGAACATTTTCAGGAATTATTTCGAAAATTACACGTGCCAAATGAAGTTGTAGCTCAGGCTGCCCTCGCTTTGATACTTTACGAAGATACACATTCTTTGCGATCATCTTTTACAACTAGTGATCCTTTCAGTCCTTTTGCAACTGAAACTGGTTTAAGATTAAATCATACTTTAACACGCACTTTTTTTTTCAATGTTTGCGATGATGATATCAAAGTTGAAGTAAGATACGTGGAACCTGAAGTTTATTCCATGAGAATCAATCAAATTGGCCCTTGGAGAAGAGTAACAGGCACATTAAGGAAAAAGGAAAACTCGTTGGAATTATGTACTGAAGTTGGCGAAACGATTACCAAAACGAGAATTATTAAAATCTATAACAAATTACATTTATTCACCAAGGCGAGTATTTCTCCTTTCTAATAAATTTCTAATAAATTAGTCTTTAAATAACTTTAATTCCAAAATTGTCACTCAAGAATGATTAACTTTAGCTTTAACTTTTATAGGATCGTGAGTGGCAATTTAACATACCTCCTATAAAATTTCTTCATGATCTTACAAAGTATCAAATTAAGGTGGATCCCTGCAAAGCTTTGAGTCCTATACCAGGTTCTGTCGAAAAATTGTGCGTAACGAAGGGAGACGCTGTAAAGATTGGAGATGCATTGCTCATAATTAATGCCATGAAGATGGAAGTATGTTTGTACTATTAGTTTTAAGATTATATTATATTATATTAAGATTATATTACATTTTACATATTAAGATTATATTATAATTTCATACATTTCATGTATTTATATTTCAATGTTAACTGTTTTCTTATAGCATATTGTCAGAGCATCTATAGATGGAATCGTCGAAGATGTACTATGTTCAACAGGTGATAATGTGCCAAAGGATAAAATTTTGATTAAGTTAACTCAATCTGTATCTTAAAACATAAATATTACAAATTATTATTGTTTTTATTCTGTCATAACTTTTTACCCGATTACTTCTAAATAATTCTTTCCTACCTTACAGTTACAAATAATTCATAATATCCCTATTCTTATTCGACCAATGTATCCGCATATCCAGATATTTTATACGCAAATCAGATGTAAATTATACGCATGTACAATGTACAAATTCTAAATTTTTAATATAAATTATTTGAATAAATATTGCGAACCAATGTACATTATAATAATTTTGAATGTATTAAATTAAACAATAACGTACATGAATAGTCTGATTCTATTTCCGTTATTGCTTAAAGCGCGCCAAATGGTGTCGCACGATTCATTTACAAAACGAGACTAGTTCAAGAACAACAAAGTGATTTTTAAATAATTCTTAGGCTAATTTTACAAAAACAAAAAGAAGAAGAATTATAAAAAAAATGAGTAATTTCAGATCTCCAATGCGATGTATTTCTCCTAAGGCGAGGTGAGGCAATGAATTAAAAATAAGCAAAGGAATTGAATGAAGGTTAGAAAGTTATTTACTCTCGGTTCGTTTAATCACGTCGAATAATTTCATTTATAGGATTTTAAGTGCCAAGCCACAAGTGGAACAAACGCTTGATATAAGACAAACTCAAAGCAAAGCAAGAAACAGTATTATGTTTTTTTTTGTCAACAGTTCTTTATTTGGAATCCTCATTTTTGATATGTAAACTCGTCATGCTTCTTTATTAATCAACTGTCTATTCTATCAATGTTGAAAGAAACGCACGTATTTCATGTATTATTTTTTTTAGAGTGTACGGAGGCGTAGCATGTGAACCATTCTGTTGGGTTGAGTGGTGTTTGGCCTTGATATTTGCATTAAATTCTCTTTATCATATAACAAAATACGCATGGGCGAATTTTTCTCTACAGCCAATTCTACTGAATCCTAAACAAAGACGTCTATTGGGTATATCTGAGGATGATCCTCTTTTTAAGAATGAACAACCATCATCTCCAAAAGCATCTGAGCCAATGATTCCATTAAATTTGTCATGCATGATTCCCAACAGAAGAATTACTCCACAGGATCTTGGTTCTACAGGATTAAGTGAATCCAGTATAATTAATTTTTTTTTTTCTATTTGGATATTATGCAGAAAATTTTTCTATAATCTATATTTAAAAATTTGTTTTTAAGAGGACTTTTTATCGCCAACTCAGTTTTTTAAATATGGTAGTCCTACATCACAAAAATCAACATCCAATCCTAATGGATCTTTTAATAAATCTCTTAATATTTCGGCAAATGGCGAAGATTTGATTCAAAGTGAAAGGGAATTAAAAAGTTACTTGGAGGAAGCTCGTCAAAAAAAGCACATTCTATCAACAGATATAAGTCAGCCCTCTAATTTACTTAGCTCATTTTGGTCGTATCCAGCGATTGGAAGTCCTGGAGATGTTTCTCCATTGTTAAGAAGATGTGCATATCAATTGGCGCCTATTATCGGTAAGAACTTTTTATTTTCTCTGATAAAATAGAATTTATAATTTTCATCTTTCCAATAGATAAATCAAAATCAGCTAGTCCCGGCAGTGAAGAAGGAAATTCACCTAGGGGTGTGTTCGGCGGACCAGACGTTTGGAGAAAATATAGAATCGATCCGATTAAATTAAACGAATGGACAGCTAATGTTCGCATGGCAAGTAAAACGAGATCAGATGCTGAGAAAATTTCATTATACTCATATGTATGTGTGTGTGTGTATGTAATAGAAAAATTTTATCAACTTTCAGTGGATTAGTAAAACAGTTATCGAACGTGTAGCAACTGAAATTGATAACGTTTGTTTGGCATTGGTTCGTCATGGTTTAAGCGATTCCCAATTAGGATGTGTTGGATTGCATAGATTGAGAAAACTTGCACAAGCACCATTTTTAGTATTTGCTATTCCTACTTTACCAACTTTGGTACCTTTCCTGGAACTTTCTAATAACCAGGAATATTTAATTAAGAGAATCAAAATTCTTGCAAAAGGAGGTTCAATGAGCGAGTTCAAGTGGAATGGTGGCGGATCTCATAATGGCAAAGAATGGGATTCCAGTTTGCCAACTGATTCAGCGGTAATTAAATTCTTTATATATCATTCAAATACATATCGACGGTATGTATGTACATTTTTTTCCATTTCTGTAGATAATTATGCATTTGGTATCAACATATATGGATACACAATTGGAAGCCCCTTTAGATCAACCCGATGCGCGACCATTTACATCAAGATATATGGCTAGATCAGGAATGAGTTTGCCACGTAGCAAAGGTCCTATAATAGTATGTCAGTCTATAAATCCACCGCATTACAATTTAGCACATTCTGGAGATTCATTACCTAGCGATTACGAGGAAGTACAACGTGTAAGTGGATTTAATGGAATTTATCATAATTTCTACTTTATTTCTACTTAGTGTAGTACTTGAAAATTGAAATTAATTGCTTTTTTTATTTGTAGGGCAGAAACAACTTATTTCATACGCTTCTGTTATTTCTATACATCGTTAAAACGAGAGATCATGGTATGTTGGGTCGCGTCAATTTGGGTACATCGGGCATAAACGTTTTGTGGGTAATCGATGGTTGAACACCTTGCACTCTAACAGTTGACAATTGTTATACCGCCCATATTCGACTGCATATCTTTTTTTTTGTTTCATGTTTATTTGTAATAATTTATTCATAATATAACCTAGCGCATCTTTTACATACGTTTGTTTCATTTCAAGAAATTAAAAAAATTCTATGTACATGTATGTGTGCGTATATATGCGTCTATAGGAGTAGAAATTTATCATAATCATTTCAATACTACGAATATGTTTTATTCACAGTACTTAAGTATATGTACAAATAAATCATAAATCACGATGCGGTATCTGTTAAAAATAAATTTTTAATACATTGTAGTATAGCATATGATAGCTGGTTTGTAAGTCTTTTATTTTACAAATTTTAATGTGATGTGCTACACTAAATGCACATACGATATAACAAGTATCGCAGAATTCTTCATTGGACTTTTAAAACTGTCACCATCTGACCAAATAAATGCGTCAATTTAACGAATCGTAAAATGAATTTGCATTCCCATTTGTGTTTTATTGACATTATACCACGCAAGGAATGCAATGTTACTTTCAACGTTATCATTAACGCCACATAGTTTTTATACAATCTTGTAATTTCTTTTTTTTAAATCTTATTTCAACGGTCAAAAATCCATATATCGTAAAAAATTATGTCGCACTTTTCGTACAATTTATAATACATTCTTTGGATAACATTCCCTGTACATTTAAAATCAATCGGTATATACACCGTAGTTACATGTCATAATAAAATGATAATAACATGTTCAATGTACAGTTAAAAAGCAACAGATTCATTTGTACGTTAATTTGTAGCTTTTCAAGTCCGAGACGATGATTTGCCCAAGGCTAAGCGGCGCTTTACTAAATTACAATATCTTATAGATATCAATGAAAGATCTGTTTAGGATAAATTTAAAAAGAATTAAGATCATTCTACATTTTAAAACAACATCATAGAATTAGGCGAAACATCTAATAATTTCTAGCGAAATTCAACAATAAAATATATTCTTATACTTGTACCTTTTGTTCAAATAAAACGTATGTGCGTGTATATACATAAATAAAAATATAACATTTTGTTTCTTTTCATACTTAAAACAAAACCAGAGTATATAAAAAAAATTTTTATCCAATTGCTTTTCTATTTTCTTTTCGTTTGCTCTAAACTTTTCATACACTAAACAACTTTACCCAATTCCCATATACAGCTACGACTCATACTTAAATATAAACAAAGATATACAACATATAATACAAAAGTCAAAAAACAGCAGTAATTAAAAATTACATTTTTATCTTGCTGTTCTTCGTTTTCTCTCTCTTTATTTCGTGTAATATTGAGAAAGAAAGTTTTGGTTTTGTGGATGGAAATCAAAGAAAGAATTCAATAAATACATAGAAAAGTTGTACGTCAATTTATGACGTGGTAAATATTTTGGTTCCTTCTGGTAATATTACTTCTTCACCGACGTCAGTAAGGGTGACCGTAAGAGGAAGGATCAAAGGCATCAATATCTCCTGAAGTTGCATAACCGTTTGTTGGGTGGTGACTGATTCAGGTTGTTTGGTGATGGTAATAGTTTTAATATTCTGTGGTTTTACTATTTGCCCTTGTTCAAGAGTGGTTTGTTGCAGCACTCTTGTTTGTTGAGTATGCGGAGTTTGTTGAGTTTGTACCTGCGCCGACAATGCTTGAGCGCGATTCTGATTTTGCACAAAAGTTTGTTTACACCTTTTACTATGAGCGTATCGACTTCCATTGTTGTTAAACCGCCGATCACAGGTTGGGCAGGCGTAGGGTCTTTGACCAGTGTGAATGAAAACGTGCTCCTTCAGCGATTTCAAACGACGGAAATTTTTTGGACAGTATTTACAATGATACTTGGCCTCACCTGTGTGGGAAGTCAAATGATTTGCGAGCGTATCAGCTCTAGCAAATGCTCGCGAACAATATTGACAAATATACGGCCGTTCTTGCGTATGCGTTCTCATGTGCATTTTCAAGTAAGCGTTGGTCGTGAACGGCCGCGAACAAACCTCGCAAACGTATGGTTTTATGCCATTATGCGCCCTAAGATGTGCGATCAGAGTCGTCGATTGCGTGAAACTCTTTGAACAGATTTCGCAAAGAAATCTTTTCGAGCTGTCCGTTTCTTTGTTTTTCTTGAAAGTCCGATCATGTTTTGACAAATGATTCGTTAGCTGTTCCTCTTTAATGAAACGCTTTGTGCATCGTGTACATTTGTATGGTTTGATCATATTATGTTTGGCTACATGTATCTTTAAATGTTCCCTTCTATAAAATTTTTTTGGGCATATGTCGCACAGGTATTTTTTTCCTTCGTGGACTTGAATGTGTCGTAAAAGCCCTTTTCTCGATGTGTACTGCTTGTTACATTCCGTACACTCCAAACCCACGATATCAGTTCTTCTCTTTCTACCAATTTTTTCGCCCGGCTTCTTTTCCTCAGGTCGCGGCTCGATATCTCTTAAGTCTTCCTCCGTAAGGATACCCTCGGTAACATGTTTTGATCTGTGTTCTCGTAGAATCTCATTGTTCTCAAACGTATCTCCGCAGATGTTGCACTTTCTCACTTGATCGGGGTTCTTCTCTGAACACTTATCATAATGAGCTTTCAATTTGTCTTTGCGGTAGAACTTGACATTGCAAATATCACACTCGAAATTTGGCTCTTCGTGCAACAATTGATGACGTAGCAACGACTTTTTCGTGCTGTATCGTTTTTTGCACTTGGCGCACTCGTGATTATCCATCGGCCAATCTAAACCACTCTCAAAATCCGAATCGTAATCGTCATCTCTATTCTCTTTCTGATAGATCTTCTCGTTGGTATAGTCTTTTTGCCATTCTTTCTTCTCCGCCGATTGTTTTTGTTTTTCCGACTTGATTACTCGTTGTTGTTCATCTTTTACATGTTGCTCCATATGTTTCGTTAACGATTGCTTTGAACTGCATCTTTTATTGCAACTCGCACATTCCAATTCTTTCTTATAATTATGCCTTCTCTGTGAAGAAATTTCTCGCTTATTCCGAGTGTAATTACCATCCGTAGAATTAACGCGATTAATTCTATCGTTATTCTCCTCTTCCTCGTCATAGTCTTCCAAACCATCTTCTGTTTTAATTTTATCGATAATTTTTTGCGCGGCTCTCGCAGCGACTCTTTTAATGCGTTTATTAGGATCATATTCTTGGCCATAAAGGAAAGTTTTATGATTAGTGGCTATAAGATGATTACGTAAAGTAAGTTCATTACCGAATGTCTTGTTACATTGCGTACACTTGTAAGTTTTCACACGTTCGTGTTGTTGTTCCATATGCTTTTGCAACATTTCCTTCGTTGCAAATTGTTGACAACACATCTTACAGCTGTGATTGATCCCCGAATGACGATGAATCTCTGTATTTCTAAACAAGAAAATGTTAATCAATAACACATATATGATTTTCATATGACAACATAATACGTACTAATCTTTACTTCTTACCTACCTATCGTTTTTCTTTGCTGAATTATTCTCTATCTCTAACAACCCTGCCATTGGTTCGTCTTTTATCCCATCATCATTTTCTGCGCTTTCTTTATTCCCTATCTCATACCCAAGAGTTTCCTTCTTGATCGCATATTCTTTATCCATCTCGAGCTCTTGCTCGGTTAATACACCTTCAACCACATGTTTCGCACGATGATTTCTTAATTTCTCCAGTGAATCGAATTCGTCTTCGCATATGCTACAATTGAGTAGAGTATGCGAAATGGCGTGCTTTCGCAAGCTACGTTTCGTAGAAAATTTCTTTGTACACCTATCGCACGCAAATGTTTCTGTACGAACAGTGCGACTTTCCTGTTCCTCCTTTCTATTCGAATTACCCAGTCGTTTGCCGTTCTCACAGTCATCGTATTCGTAATCATCGGTATCATCGTTAACATCATCATCATTATTGTTGTTATTGTTGTTTCCTTCTCTTCCTTCGCCTTCACCTCCGCCGTCATCGCCATCGCCATCGTCATCGCCGCCACCACCACCGTCATTGCAATTTTTTACCCTATTCCCTTGTTCTTCCTCTCCATGGTCGTCTTGGCCCATCTCTTTTTGTTTGACTTTCTTTCGATACTCGGTATTCAAATTTCGACGTGCATCTTTATAATCATCAAGATCTAAACTATGTTCATCCTCGTGGAATGATATTTCCAGGGGCATCGAATCTTCTTTTCCTTCCTCTTTCTCTCTCTCATGTTTCTTCAAATGTTTACTAAACGAGGTTATATATATATATTGTTTACCACAATATGGGCATTTGTTTGATCTTTTACCCGACGGAGGTGATTTCGCAACATTGTAACTGTCTTTTTGTGGCGTATCTGGCGTTCTTTTCAAAGACAATACCTTTCGAACTTCTTCATGCGAATGCATATGTTCCTTCAAAACATTCTTTGACAAAAACTCCTTGTCGCACAGATAACATAGAAAAATTTTCTCTGATTGATCGGAGGATTGGTCTTTCTTTAATCTTGAGCTTAGGTTCAAATTTTCAAAGTAATTTTCTTCGTCAGAATCCCGTTTGGTCTCACAGATTCGTCGAACTAATTTACGTTTGCTTCTTCTCGTTTCATTTTGATACTGAGAATCTGCTTCTGGCTGAACATCCGTGTTCGTAATATCCAATTTTTCTTCTTCATCTTTTGCTTCGTCCTGTTTTATAGTTGCATCCGCTGCTTTTACCAAAAGATTTACATACTCCGTGTAATCTTCGCGTTGAAACGATTCTCCGGAGGTAAGTTGATGTTGATAATGATGATGATGCTGTTGTTGTTCCTGCTCCTGTTCATTTGCATTAGATAGTACACATTCCTGCTGTAATATATAATCATGCTCCACCGTTGTAATATTTTCGAGACACTCGTTATCCTGGTTTTCGTGTTTTAACATTCCTTCGTTAATGGGTATGATAACTTTAATGTCTTCTTCCTCATGACTCAGACACTCTTCCGATGTTTGCTCTGTAGCAATAGTTTGATCGATTACCTCCTCCATTATCGTGTTTCAATTCTGTTCTGGAGAACGGGAAAGAGTCGTTAATAACGGTGTTTGATTAAGTAAATACTGCCGGCCATGCGAATTCACTTTACCGCAAAGGAACGACGTAAAAAGAAAGGATTGCAAGAGAAAAAACAGAGAAACAGTAACGCACGTGTCGACAAGTCGAGACGTAGCATCGCAGCCTACTTTAGATACAAGCCATGGTGAAAATAAATTTGGCAACAGTGTTACAACTCTCACCTCGATGTAAACATAACCTACTCAACAGATGTGGCCTCTTAAACATTTTTTGTTATTTATGAAATGTTGTTATGATAAATAATATTAAAAGTACAACCAGCCGATTATAATGGAATACAATTGGATGTTTAACAGTGTACAAAATGCTATATATGTATACAGTGCAGGCTCACACAGGCACATATAAATTGTTTTGCAACTGCAACACCAACGCTCAGTACAGTTCAAAGTCAAAAGTCTCATATACTTATTTTGTATTTTTTATTTTACTTTTTGCAGTAATAACATACAGCAGCACATAGTGTTCTTTTTATATTTGGATTTTTTTTTAAATTAACAGTGTCGTAGCATTACTGTGCTCAACTTCAAGGAAAATTATAATCAAAACGTTTTAAAATCAAATAATTATGATTTCTTCATCTTTCTTCACTAATGATAATTACCATATTCTTGCAGCCATACAATAATATGACAATGTCGAAATCTAAAATGATAATGAGTCACAGTTTGTTTACTCCTTGGATAAGAAAATGTAGCACACCTTTTTAAATACAAATACGAATATTTATATTCTCATCTACAAACATTGTAATACCATATTTAAACAGTTGTCTCCTACTGTAACTTTTCTTATGAATTATATATAAATTTTTCTTATAATTATATGAAATTATATACTATCAAAATATACACTTTGCACTTGACCTATTCTTAGTACTCTCACTTTTATTAACGTGTATGTGTTCTCAGTTTCAAAAACTGATTACATTCAGAAGCAATTTCTTTCATACTCATGTTTGTTTAAAATCACTATAAATATTGCAAATTCGAGAGCCACGCATGAACTCTTTTGTCATTTATACGTCTCAATGCATCTATTCAATACACAATCATCATATTCGTGTACTGTTTAGATATAATTATTAAAAGAATTAGAAATATATGCTGGAGAAATTTCAACAGCAGAAGTATATACTCCACTGAACTTCAATATTAAAGTAGAAGTCTTGTAGCCTATAAAAACAGTGTTGCCGCACTGTGCATCATGGGTCGTTGTATCTAATTGTTAAAATAGTCTATGGTACTATACAAGACAGGTGCAAAAAAGGATTATACTACAAGATACATTGCACAATAGTATTTTAATTTAGAAGATACAATCATTAAAGTTTACAAATTGATACATTTGTTACCTTTCTTTGCACACCACAACTTAGCCGCTTCATGGAAACTGAAACACTAGCTCCGAATAGCGGTGAACGGACGAAATTAATCTTTTTATGAGAAAATAGAAAAAAGTCACATTTATCAGTTTACGAGCCCAACTTTTCTATTACTCAAAAATTAAATCAAAGATTTTGCTCCGAGAAATTCAATTTCTTATGTAATTAATTTCATGCGATTGGTACAAATTGTTGTTGGTTTGTAGCGGTACTTAAATGAATGTGTTTAGGAATGATGTAGGATGATGAGGTAGGGATTACGAAGGATATAGAAGGTGAAGTGCGTTTCGTTTCAGAGTCGCCGCCAAACTCATCAGTGGGGCTGATGGCGGCGACGCCTATCAGATGCTCCGTTTGTTAGGAACCTCTAAAGCTGAGCATAAACAGCACCTATCCTAGAGATTAGATTTTTTGTACGTTGCTTGTTTAACCTGAAAATCGCACTCGATCGTAAGATCGGTAAGCGGCATCCACTTGCGGCTTGTGCTGTTCGTATCTTCGGAACTGGTTATATTAACAAAGAACTAGAAGACAAGAAGCGCAATAGTGTATGATAAGAATAGAGATAGAAATTAGTTCCACCGTTTCACCGCTACGTAGCGTTAGTATTTCGATGTCCATGAGTAGAATAAATTTCCATTTGCAAAAAAAACCTTATCTATATTTGTGCTAATCGCGTATAATTAATTAATTATTTACACAAAAGAACTCAATTTCTTAGAGTAAAATCTTTAAATTTAATTTAATTTCTGCACAGAATTCAGTTCATAAATTGAATATTCTCATAAACGGACTAATTTTCGCCACTACTCGCAGCTAGTATTTTAGTGTTCACAAATTGAGGAAATTTTGATTTACGAAGAAAACTTAGTAATCTAATGTAGATGATTATTTTATAAACTTTTTTAATTGTGTTTCTAGAATTAGATCCTTAACCTTTTTTCTATATTACATTTGACCTCCAAAACTAATGATCTACGAAATACTAATCAGTAGATCGGAGTTGTCGGTGCTATAATATTGGAGTTCTTGTTTGAAACAACGTTTGAAATTTGAGTCAAAATCGCTTAAGTACTTGTGTATAATTAGTGTCAGTTTTTAGTTTAACAGTTAATAACGATATGTTCCATTTCTTTACGCGATAGTAAATTGTTAGTATCTATGGATTGAACATAAAGAACTGAAAGGATTAATTTATGTGATTTTGCTGCTTCAATTTTTTCTTATATACCATTTGAACCTTTGAAATTTGATAGTATGAAAAATGGCTATGGAAAATAGGAGACATGAGAAATCACTGGGTATCAAGTCTATTTTATATCCAATTTGTGTCATCAATTTTTATGTTTGTATTCGTATGTTTTATGAATTGTATATACATGCAATGAATTGTATATACAGGAAAAGCATAGAGAATGTAGAAAATGTTCTGATTTTTTTTTGATATTCGTTTATGTTCAATAATATATACGTTTATGAAGTATATTTGTTTATATTTATACACGCATATTTATGTAGAAAGCTATCTCACGAATGTATAAAAATTGTTTATTCGAAGATTCGAAAATTATTGTTCTTTTAATTGCTATTTTCTATTCTAGTACATCGTATCTGTACAAATAAAGCTTCGTCTTTGAAATTACATGTTTGGTTTAATTAGACTAACTTTTCCTTTCTCATTATTTACGAAATTGCATGTTTGTTTTTCGTTATTTGTTTCTAAAGTTCCGGTGCATTGCCTCGCAATTGCGTTCGCAAGCTACGTCTTTAATTCATCATAATAAATACTGTTAACGATGTTTAGTTCATCGATGATGAACAACCATAAGAGTCAACCGACCGGTCATCCGAATCAACAACCATAATTTGATTCTATTCGGTATCTTTTTGAGAGCTACATGCATGTCAAATTAGGGAGAGTAGAATGAATCATCGTCGATGCGCGCGCATGTAAGTACGGCTATTCGTCGTCTCTACGCGTTGCGAGTTGCGAGCTCGTGTTAGACGTCGGAGGAACGTAAATGTTGACAGATAATTAAAGTTACAACAAAAACCATCGTCTTATTTAACTTTTATTGTAAAACGAATACCTTCGTATGTTTTTGAATGCACGACATATCGAATCATTTCGGAAGAGTCGCAAATTTCTTTTATATATTTTCGGTAAGTTTTCTATAAATAGAAGAATTTTCGCGAGAAACCTAGTACATATCTCGAGAAACCTAGAGATTAAATTTTGGAATTTACGTGTGCGCGTGTGTATTTAATGATCAATGTTTCGTCTATTCATCATTTCAAAAAATAGTCATCTAAATCTGTTTTAAAATACGTGGTATTTAGTGTTACAAAAGTGTTACCGAGATTAATTCTAACATACATATCGTGCGTATAATACGTATGTACATATCAAGATGTGTGTGTGTGTGTATATATATGTATAAATGAGATTAGATCTTAGGTCATTTATATGTATTTTCGTTGTATTAAACATTTCTGTTTGTCAACTAAAGGATAAGAAAACGAGTATATAGATATATTTTTTAATTGGATATGTCACAGTGTGCGACATGTGTAGCGTATCGCGTTAGAGAAAATTCATCCGAAAAAGAAACAGAATTCGACAGGAGTAAAAGAGATAGAAAAAAATGTGCTTGGAATAGCAGCTAAAAGAAAAGGATCGTGTACGTTTAAAAATCCTTCAGCAGGAGGGAAACTATTTTTAGCTCGTACGACGCACACTATAGTGGATTGTAGTCTCTGGGTTCCTACATCTGTATTGAAGTAAATAGCAAGTCGTTTTATCAATGTTTCTGAGATGCATTGCTTTCATTTTTAGTAAGACTATGGAGAATGAACAACGGCATTATGAATTACGAAGTGGAAGTAGATCACGTTCCAGAACTCCTTTGGTACAAAGTAGCACCACCACAATTGAGCCAGAAACTTTAGAGCATCATTATCACTTGAGAAATCTAAGTCGAGAGAGGTCTCACACTCCTGGAGAAATTGCAAATGTTAAAAGACCTGGTAGAATATTGTACGTATAAAAAATTTCAGTTTTGATCATAGATGAATAATTATTTAAATATAAACGTACATATAGTTAATATTAAGTTTAATTTCAATATTGTTGTAGATCTGGTAGTAGCAGTAAAACAAACGACCAAAATGTGGGAACTATAACGGAGACAGAAAAAGAAATTGTCACAGTCGATACAACGTTGGGGAATAAAAGTAAGCACATTGAAAACTCTTCGTTCTATATGAAAAAAGGAGAACGTCGATCTGAACGGCAAAAAGCAAAAAAGAAAATATTTGCAAATGGTCAAAACGATAACAAAGAAGATTCGCTTATAAATAAAAGCGAAAAAGACGATAAAAGTATCTTTCTACATAGGACTTTTACTAGTGACTATTCTTCAGAGGAAACAGAACAAGAAGATACCCCGCACAAACCATGTTCTGCACATGAAATCTATAAACAAGCTGGTGATTGGTGGGAGTATGTACTTATTCTATCTGAATCATAATTTTATATTATTGTTTACTTGTATTCATTGAAACTTGATTAACTAATTTCTTACTTATAAGTAAATGTATTCTTATTTATAAGTAAATATCTTATCGTTGTTCTTTTTTTTTTTTTTTTTTTTTTGCTTGGTTTTTAACATTTTTTAACCTCTATATCCGAGCTATTAATGTTACAAAACAAATGGAGAGGACAGTAGTGTATTTTGAAAGAGTCCCATTTAACTTAACCAATACAACCTATTAATTGTGCGTTTTATTTTCACATCATTTCATATTACATTAAATTATTATATTTTTGATCAAAATCTTTTTTTATCTTTTGTTAGCGTATTTCCTAAAACGGATTACACCTATTCAGAAAAGTCCAAATGTCGTTATGAAATAGCACCAGGTATACTGGCAATGCCCAATATGTCCCGACGCTCCATCCATTCAAATACAGAAAATTCTAATCAATTTTTGTATACTCCGTCTAAGAATGATATATGTGAAACAACAAATATTGAAAAAGAGAAACAAACAAAAACAGAGAATTCTACTGTAAGTACAACAGAGTAATCGACTTATCTATATCTGGCCAGAATATGTAATATGTATATGAGTTGCAGTACGATTGTTAACGATTGAGACTTGTGAAAATTGTTATGACTTACGAAAACTATTATAGCTTTATTGTTAGGATTGAACGTAATAAAATTGATATATCTTTATTTACTTATTCTATTTTAGACATGAATTTACTTATTGCATATTCCACGTATAGAAATTCATTTATTGCAATGTTATTTATAATTTATTCTATTTGCTATTGTTTTTTTTTTATAGCTCAATGAATTTTATGGATCACATACACCGAAATTAGATAAATCCAAGGTTCAATACACAAAGACGCATGTAGAACAATACTATCGTCACAGAGAAGTAATTTATGCAGAACCTAGTAGTTTAACGAATTCACGATCAAGGTTTGTTATATCTAAAATTTACTTGTATAATGTGTTGTATAAATATCATATTGAATTAAAATATATATATATATATATATATATATATATATATATATATTTATTTATTTATTTATTTATTTTAGGCAATTGTTGCACTCTGATTTATCATTAAAACGTATGAATTCTCGAAAATGTGGAATCACATCTGCTATTGATTCTGACGTTGAATTAGAAGAAACAATTTCAAAAAACTATAACCAAAGAAACAAAATAGTGCAGCGATTTATGAGTTTTGTATCGATTATTGTTTTATGGTTTATAAAATTCCTTGAATTTCTGAAGCTGAAGACTGTTAAAAGAAGAGAATATTACGCCACTTACGAATATGGTATTGTAGGATTATTAATGTACCTGTAAAAGCAGTTTTACAATATAAATAATTTATTAATACATTTTAACTTTATTTACTTTCAGAATCTAAATACTCGAAAATCTGGAAATATGTCGACCATTGTTTGCAATATATTTATCTCTTTATGGTTAGAGTGTTCTTTTTCGATTCGTGGTTGTTGAGTCATGTATCCAGTACTAGAAGATGGATACACCAGAGAAGCCCAAAGATGTTTTGGGTTGCTTTATTGCCATTGCTTCTTCTTACTGGTAAATTTTATAACCATTAAACTACTGTAAAGGATTCGGCAATTAAGAAATATGTGACTTCGTATTGTTTTATTCCTCTCCTATTTTTTTTTTTTTTTTTTAATTATCTATCGTGTTTATCCTCAAGATCAAGTTTTTGCCTTGGCATCTTCGGGAAGACGGGTGAAACCTATCCTGGCGTTTCTTTTTCTTTTTGTTTCAGGACACATCGTGCAAAAACAGTCCTTTATCAGTCTGGATTCTCTGCGAAATATTCCCTATGATGTCACTGAGACGAGCAATCGCATCTTTAACAATATTATCAGCTTATCGATTTCTCAAAGCGATTTACTTGTTCAATATATAAAAACACTTAAAGACTTGTCATTATATTTCGTGCCGGGTGTGAACGTGTCTTCACCCGAGATGCCTTAGCATTGTTTAGAATTTGACCACTTAAAGATTTTTTCATTTGTTGTTTATAATTTACTTTAATACGTAGTTTCTAGTAACGTGGGACTTGGTTGAATTACGCTTTGTATTATGTGTATATGTAACGTAGCAATTATACATATGATATATATATATATATATATATATATATATATATATATATATATATATATATATATATATATATATATATATATAAATGTACGTATATGCATTATAATGCATAACTGGTTTTTTGTAATTATTAATATTTACTAATACTAATATTTGTTAATAACAAATTACACGCATCGCATTTTTAAAGTAGAAAATTATAATTGGTACCGAGAAATATTGCCATGTTATGTTTTTGATATATTTTATACAATCTTATTACTAGTCACTATATATATTTATGGTGCATACAAACGAAGTAAATAACAATAATTATATGCAAAAGTTATCTTTACGTATACCCGATGCTATGGTATCTGTAAGAACACGTTCATATGTCGTTCGTAGAAATAGAACAGTAATTGGTTATTCGCAATGTAATGTTGTCAATATAAAACAAGAAACCACAACCAATGGTTAAATTTAATAATGGGAGAAGGATAGAGGGAGTAGGATTTGTTCACTAACAATGTAAAATTAGGATATTCGTGCTTCACAAGGAATATGGATATAATCTCTATATTTCAATATCATCGGAATGGTGAGTCCCTTCGTCTATCCTTCTCTCGGTATGTAACAGTATGTAACAAGTTACAAAATTGGCAAAATTTGAAGAAAATTATATTTTTATATTTCAGGTTGGTGGTGTTTACTACACTATTCAACTTTGTTTCCTCTCACCAAAGTAATTACACAGCAATTTGGAGTTGGACAGAAGTTAAATCCGAGTGATAAACCATTATTTTTAAAGTGGGAAATGTTTAGGAAAGAAGATAATTTTGAATCGATCACCGAAAAATTACACAGTAGAATCAGTAATTTAGAGGATCGATCTATCGAACAGTCTGTAAGAATTTTTGTTGATTTTTAATTTCACAATGAAAAACAGATTTATCTGTTTTTAACAATTAGCTACTAGCTACAAATATTTAATATATACAGGATCGTCTTTTCAATATAACTCAGTCGCTTGAGCAGCTAAGGGAAAAAGGATATGTTTGGTCAAAATATGATGTAAGTTTGAACATTTTGTTCTTGATACTCTTTGGCTTTAGTATTACTTGGCACTATATCTGATTTTATTTCAGAACGAGATATTATTGTTGGAAAAGAGAATGAAAGAATATAAATTAGATAATATATACTCTCAAGAAATTAATATCATTAAATCACAGTTGGAAAGACTGAAAGAATTTTATTCAGAATTAAAATCGTGTTGTAACACGCATACAAATCATATTAGTAGTGAAGATTTGGAAAAACGAATTCAAATAGTTTTTACTGATTATTTTGATACTTTAATGTCGAAAAGAGAAAAAGGTATTCGCGATAGAAATTACTACGATTACTACGATAGAAATCGTAGTAATCATTCAAACGCGAGTGAAATATGTTTCCTTTCTAGTTACGTATCAAATATAAGGAAAGTAAATGTGAAATACATGAAAAATAATTCTTTTTTACAGTTCAAGATAAATCGTGGATTGTTAACGATAACGTTGTAACGGATGACCGTGTGCGCGAAATAGTTAAGGAAGCTATAAAAATATATGACGCGGATAAAACGGGACGCGTTGACTATGCTTTGGAGTCTGCTGGTAATTTATCGATTTCAATTGATCGAATCAACACAATAATTATTCTGACTGAACTGATATATTGTCATTATTTTTTCTTTTTTTTTATTAATAGGTGGTCAGATCATTAGTACACGTTGTACGCAAAGATACGATACAAAAACTAGAGTAGTCAAGTTATTGGCTTTTACCCTATATCATGAAAATAATAATCCTCGTACGGTGATACAAGGAAATCCAATACAACCAGGTGCTTGCTGGGCATTTCAAGGCTTTCCAGGATATTTATTAATTAAGTTGCGAAGTTCTATTTACGTTACTGGATTTACTGTGGAACACGCACCGAAATCAATTTTGCCTAATGAAGAAATGAGAAGTGCTCCTAAAAAATTTAATGTTTGGGTAAGTAAGCCTACTCTTTTGTGTATACATCACGTATGTTTTAAATTCCACATTTCTACGTTGTTAAATAGGGTTTTGTCGATGAGAATGATTCTGAACCAGTATTGTTCGGTGACTATGAATTTGCTGCTACAGATGATAGTTTGCAATACTTTCCAGTTAAAGTAAGTTGCATCTTTAATACAATAATCTTATTAAATCATCCTGAAAGTAACCACAACTTTGAATTGTCCGTTTCCGAAGTACACACTAAATTCAAATAAGCGCTACTGTACTTATTAAAAGAAAATTATATATTTTGGCCAATGATGGTATTTAGTTTTAGTTTTCAGTTCATGACTCAGTTTTTGCAATCAAATCAAATCAAAATCGATAAGGTCATATCGTAGATCTAGTCTATAAATATAACTAAAATACATTATGGTGTTTATTTATGTTTTTTTAAGGCAATTAATTTGAAAGCTTGTGTCAGATTTGAGGATGATCCACTTATACATTTTGTGTTTTCTTAAACATTCATTCTAATATAATTTTGATATTTTTAAATGTAGAATACAACGATCAAGACACCATACGAATATGTGGAATTAAGAATACATAGTAATCATGGACAACTTGAATATACATGTTTGTATAGATTTCGCGTACACGGAAAATCGGTCTAAATTATCTTTCACTGAAAATTCAAGTGCAAATATTTCGAACATTGTAGTAATTGTAGTAAGAATGAATTTGCAATTTGATTCATATCAGATAGTAAAGAAAGCAAGTGAATGAATGAATGCGTGAGTCGATAATGGATAATGGAAAATGGTTTGAAAGGGAAGAAAATTGAACGAGAAAGTTATTGCATGTTGTGCCTTCAATTACTTGATGTAACAATAACCACTGCGATCTAGAGAGAGAATTATTTTATAACGCAACATATATACAAAGTGAATGAGATGAACGTTACCTTATCACACATAGACAATACAAGCCTATGTACATAGAGTCGATTATTTAACCATTCTCTTTTTTTGTATTGAATGTTTGTGCTCTTTTTCCACAGTTTTATTGTAGTACAAGCACAAATGTAACAATTTCTTTCAACAAGATACGTACAAAAAGAAAGAACACAAGCCATTATTTTGAAGTATCGATTAGATAGAAATAAGAAATATGAGTTGTTATCGGAGAAAAAGCTCGGCATTTTAAATATTATCCAAAGTTCAATACCATTACGTTTGTGATATCGTACAGTTGTATAATTCACGCGAAAGTACAAATTGTACAAAAAAGCTGTGCCTAACTTCAGTACAGCGTTTCTACGATAATTTTGATTATACTAATGCGTTTTATATAGAAATCTAGTATAACATATTTGATAATATATTTGATCAGCGCATATACATCCATTATGCGCATGTGTGTATATATGCACATATATTGTATGTACATGTATAAAACAACAAGAAATATATTATGTTTTCCAAGTTATAAACTAAGTTTACAAAAAAAAAAAAAAAATACCTCCTCCTTTACCCTCCTTTACAGCTCTTGAAGTTTCTTTATTGAATATAATACGATTGTACTATTTACATTTATTTATTACTTCCTCTAATTTGCACGTCGCAAAGCATTGTCATCTTCTTTGATCAAAAGTGTACAGCGTCCAAAGAATACTTCGAAAGCAGAAACACGTAAGTAAAATATAAAAATATAAGTATAAAAAAGATTATATATAAAAGAAATACATTGTTTAAATCCGAAATGAAATAACGAGAATAAAATTGTTGAAAATATTTTAATGTCGCGAAATCGTTCAATACAATTTTAATTTTGACTCGTTATACGAAACAGGCTATATACGAACAAGTACGTACATACATATATATGAAGGCATGCTATATTAATTTTACAAAAAACAAATGTTACAATAAATGATACGTTCATACGTGTAAAATCTGTATATATAATGAATTATAACGAACGTGGAAAAACACTATTAACCACGATATTTTTACTCTAAAAGATTTTCTGCTTGCATCTTGTAGATTATCAATCATTATCTTTTATTGTCTGTAAAAATCAATATTGGCGTGTTTCAATTATCTACTTATTTGTTATCCAATAACTTTCTAACCTAACTTAAAAATATTAGCCATGAATTATTAAAAATAATCGAGTCAGCGAGATATGAAGAAGCTAATTAATTTGCGCATGGATATAATGTGGATATGATGTGTTAAAAATTAGAATAAATTAACATTACCATAACATTTTTTATTAAATAAATTTTTCCATTTAAATCTTTAAATATATGTAAGTACTTACATACTACATGCGTGTAGTTAATTTTAATGTGTACATATACATATATTCCAAATAAAGGAGCTAGTGGTCACAGGAACAGTTTCAAATAACCGTTTTATGGTCTGTAATTGTAAAATTTCCAATTTTACAATTGATATATAGAATTGATCGTCATTTTCTTCGATGTTTTTGGAACACAAAAGATAATTTTCATCGATTTTTTATACAATCAATATGCATACTGTCAGTTGAAAATTGGAATTTAATCGAGATCACTTGTTTCTATGTACATATATATATATATATACATATGTATATGATTTCAGATTCGTGTTTTAGATCAAGCTCGTTGTAAATTAACATTGTATAACATATGTTTTGGATAAACATCAAGAACAGTCTATCAATGTACATAAAATACTGATATTTTACTAAGAAATGGTCTTATCAACTTGTTGAAGTTTACCCTACATGCAGTTCATGTATGTATATATGTACGTACGTATGTATGTACAAAATGTGTCAATTGGGAAGACTAAAGATATTATACATATGTATACGTGGCACTAATTTATTTCTATCGTTTATGGTTGATGTGTACAGAAAGCAAGAAATTATTCGCTTTTAGATATATCACGTCCGGAACAAAATTTCATTTGAACTTTGACTGACTAGTTTTATTCGATCTGGCTGAGGATTGTTGATATAAGTTGTAAGTAGAAATTAATTGTAACAATTGATTACGATAGAATGCTGAAGCAGTTTAAGAGGTTAATATTAAGGAGTAATAATAAGATACGGAAATGGCAGAAAGGACATTGATTTTTGCATCATCTTTATTCACGCAAAACAAGAATAGATTTAAATAATTGTGTCAATAATCGTACGCGTACACATACGTGTGTGTGCGTACACGTCGCTTAGGTACATGAAGCGCGTGTACGTATTTTATTATGCATATACATGCATATTTATACGTTACACTTTATGCATGTACGTAATATAAAGTGTACGTATAATGTACAATATGTTCATGTACGTATATGTGGTATACGGTATACGTTTATTTATACCTGTACATGTCATACATATTTCGCATGCACATATATACACATGTATGTATGTATGCATGCGTGTGCGTGCGTGCGCGCGCGCGTGTGTGTGTATGAATGTATATACGAGTGTAAGTATGCATATAAAGTATATAATATATAATATATAATATATAATATATATCATATATTATATAAAATGTAATATAATATACATAGTACGTGTGGATATGTGTGCGTGGTGCGCGTGTACATACGTGTATATGTAGAGGGTGAGGGAGAGGGAGAGGGAGGAGGAAAGGAGGGGGGAGATAAAATTGCAAAAGAGTGGATGTAAATCAGAACATAACATGCGCATGTTAAACCGCATCTTTTTCGTCTCTACCAACGTTCCTGCCGACACGAGCAATGGGATATCATCGATATGCATATGTACATAAGATACATTACATATCGGAAAATGCATAATTGATAATCAATTGTTTTATCTGTATTCTTATTCCAATGGCGATTGATACAAGACTTTGCATAGCAAATACATATTTGCGTGTAGGTGATTTCGAGCAACAGTTGCGGTCACGTAGTAGAAACGAATACATGCCAGTAATAAGATTTTGGAACGATATTGGAATATAGATTCAATACTGATTTTGGAATGGTTCGTGCTTCCCATAAAGGGGACAAGTGTTAGAACAATAAATAATATTCAATAACATTAATGGAATCTCCATAACGTCCACTTACTTACGATTCCTGCTTGATAATCAGAGATCATCTATCGGACTATAAACTTACATATACATATGTATACACGAAAATGATAAATTTCGATCATAGGTTTCCTCATGCCATAAGTATTTCGAAGAATAGCGTTGTTGCGTAAGTTTTGTGACCGCTTTATGATCGCCTTTCTCAAACTAGAAGAAAGTGAACAAATAAATAAATATTTTGTACGTACGTTTACTCTACGTACGCATAACTCCGTTCATCGTTTCGCTTACGAGTTACGAAGTTAACAAATGAATATTCGCATTACTGGTTCTTTCAACTATCTGCAGCAAGCAATTTTATTCGTTTCTTCATATTTTTCTAGGCAATCGTTGAAGATGAACTTGGAGTTGTTACATTATTATAGCGATATTATATCGTAGAAATGAAACAACAAGTACGCTATAAACTAACAAATATATATATATATATATATATATATATATATATATATATAATGTGCTATAAACACAATAGCAATAATAAAAATAATAATCGTAGTAGCGATAGCAATAAATTAATAATAGTGATTGCATTAGTGATAATAACAGTAGTAGTAATAGAAAATAGTAGTGATAGTAGTAGAAATGACAGCAGTGGTAATAATAATCAATAAGGATAGCAGTAAGAAGAAGAAGAAGGATAATAATTGCAACAGTAATACTAATGAACCGTCATTATTGTGTAGTTACCGTCATCGTGTCGTGTTACAATTGAAGTTAACAGTAGCAATAATGGAAATAATAGCATTAGTGAATGTAACAGTAGTAGTGGTAAAAGTGGAAATGGAGTAGCGATGATACGACACAAGCAGGCACTTTTACTTATATACAATTGCAACGATAATTGCAGTAGAAACGGTCACAGTAGCGATAATAGTACTATCGGAGGTAGCACAGCAACGGTATAATGATTACTTTTTTTACTGTATTTGTTGTTGCAGTTATAAGAATGGCGGTTATGACAGTATTAACGGTAGTAGCAGCGTTAATAATAAAAATACTGCAGATGATATTGGTACTGGTGACGTAGCAATAATTTGATCCACAAATTCTCCTCGATCTTGTTTCGAATGCCCAGTTTTAGCCAATCGTCCGAACGTTTCGACCATCGAATTGAAAACTATTATTAATGTAGGAATTTAAAGTCTTCTTTCATAAGCGCATATAAAGCGGTTTGGCCAAAATCTTCAAATAATAATTGCGGCAAATCATTCTAAAGGCTTTATCTATGCATCTATCTATGTATCTATTTATCTACATATCTATCGATTCATCCATATATCTATCTATCTATTTACCAATCTATCTGTGTATCTCTCTATCTATCTATCTATCCATGTGTGTATCTATATATGTATGTATGTAATGTATGTATGTATGTCTGTACGTATGTATGTATGCGTGTGCGTGTGTGTGTATGTATGTATGTATGTATGTACGTATGCACGTATGTATGCACGTATGCACGTATGTACGTTGTGTACGTGTGTATGTATGTATGTATGTATGTATGTATGTATGTATGTATGTATGTATGTATGTATGTATGTATGTATGTATGTATGTATCTATCTATCTATCTATCTATCTATCTATCTATCTGTCTGTCTATCTATCTGTCTGTCTATCTATCTGTCTGTCTATCTATCTATCTATCTATGTATCTATTTATCTATTCATCTATCAATCTATCTATCCATCTGTCTACCTACCCACCTACATACCTACCTACCTATTTATCTATTTACCAGCTATCTATTTATCTATCTATCTGTCTATCCATTCATCTGTTGCTCCATCTATCTATATCTATTTACTACCCATCTTTCTGTCTATCTATATAACTATGTATCTATCTGTTTCTATCGACCACTGGAATCATATAAGTAACATGTACGATTGTTGATTTTCTAAGAATTATAATACCAATACAAAAGAAAATAAAAAATAATAATCGTTGTAATAACGGACGACGGAATTTAACGCAAATAATTAATGAATAATTGAATAAAATACAAATATTGTATCGACTAGATTCGTATATGGGTTTTTCATTAGCACGCAAACTATGATCATACCACTTCGATTCCATCCGCTTTGATACGCGAAACCTTAAAAGGAGAGAAAAGTGAACAAGACGAAATCACTAATGACAAAAAAGTGACCAATTCAATTAATATCTATCTTACGTCAATGACCACACAAAGCCGTCTGTGAATCTGTCACAGCAATTACAGATCCGCTTTACGTCAAAAGTCGAAATAATTTATCCGTGCAGTATATTATATGAAATTTAATCGTTTTTTCAAAGATGTATTCCCGAACGTGATAATCATCGCGTAACTATACAGTTACAAACGTGTATGTCTTATTCTCTTTCTCTTTCTCTTTCTCTTTCTCTTTCTCTCCTCCACTTCTCTCTCCTTCTCTCTTCCTTCCTCTTCTCCTCTCACTCCTCTCTCACCCCCTTCCTCGCTGTATATGCGTGGCAATTGATAATTACTTTTACGGTTAATAATAATAATAATAATAATAATAATAATAATAATAATAATGATAATAATAATGATAATGATAATGATAATAATAATAATAATAATAATAATAATAATATTTCTGCATACTGTTCTATCCTGGAAAAGGAAGGAAGAGGTATGACTACGTAGCGTGCCTGGAATTCCCAATTCAGGAGTGTACGATGTTTCGGATGTCGTGAAGAAAGTAGCATGAATGGACGTTGCGTTGTTGTAAGTTTTCCAAAATTCTGTGTGAAAATCACAATGACCATTTTGTGGAAACTGCTTCTCGTAACATCTCGTTTCCCGTTTCTCGTTTCTCGTTTCTCGTTTCTCGTAGTTGCTCGTTGGTCTCGTCAGAATATACCTCGTTCATCGTCGTAGATGTCGTGTCTGATAAAAGTCTTCGTAATGAAAGCGCCTCTGTGTTCTTTTCTTCTTACTTCTTGCGGCCTAGGTACTCGACCATCTCGAAAAGCTTTTCTTTCTCATCTTCAAGCAGCAATGCTTGAATGCAGCTTGTAAAGTATTGCGTACCAAAGCAGTCTTGCCTAAATGTACAAAAAGAAAAAAAACTGCATTAGATGGATCTCTCGGACAGATGTATTTTATACTTTATCCGTGTTCAGTGTGTTAGGTCAACGACGTTCGAATGTAAAGTCGAATGTAAAACCGAAGAAGAAGGAGAAAGAAAGGAAACAAAAGAGAAAATTCTAGGATTCGTTCGTTTGATTTCACCTGATTTTTCTTTCAACGTCTCTCTAATCTTCTTATCTATAGTACAATCAATCTATATTTATATTATAATTTCGTATAGTTGTATGTTTAATGAAAAAATTTTGACTTTCTCACTGTTATTGCGTATTAAGCTGAGACAAATTTTATTTTACGAGTAAGTAAAATATCAGGGGACAAAATATCAGAGTACGTCTTTTTGCACGACAAATACAAGTACAAACGAATCCGTCAGTTTTGATGCAACGAGTATGATATGAATGGCGTAGAATTGAAAAAACATGCCGATCGAATTCCGGCAACCGTTAAATATCTACAACAGATGTATCTCGTCTGCAAAAATTGTAATTGCAAGGAGACAAAAACAAAATGCATAAGAGCTGCTGCCTCCGATAAGAGAACCTGTAAAAACATTTGAGCGTTGCAAAAAAATTTGTTTCGTTATTCTCTTTCTTGCAGCGTTTCCATTGGCATCCTGTTCCCGTCTGAAAAAATGTACGTCTGAAAAATGTACGTTAGTAGTACGCAAAATCAACGTTGTTTCGACGTCGAGGCACGATAACGCGCGACAAAAAACATTTTTAATTTTGAAAAACATGTGCTGCTCGTGTGTGTTGTTGAAAAAAAAAAATGTTGTGGAAAAAAGAAACGAATGAAAAACAACGGTCGTAGAAAATCGGAAAAAAGAGATTTGGTAAAAGTGAAAAACAATGACAATGTATAGATAGGTACATTGAGATATGTATGTTTCATATAGATATGTATGTACGTATGTACGTATGTATGTACGTATGTACGTATGTATGTATGTATGTATGTATGTATGTAGATCCGAAACATAGTTACGATATTAAGAAACACATTAATACACATACGAATACATACGTATTTATTTATCGTGTGAGAAAAGTATGAGCAATGGATCGAAGAGCTATTTATTCATATTGATAGTAGTAATTAATAATTAATAAAATACCGAGCAACGTCGTTTTATTGTTGCGAAATTTGCTGAGAATTACCTAAAGGCACAAGGCAGCGTGCACAAATGTCGCGTATCATCGTGTATATTGTGTGCATCGTTGAGTCGTGGTTCATAAATTCTTGAGACGACGTCAAAGGCAAATAGTTTCGATCGGAAAACAGCTACTTAGTTTGATTGTAAATGTTGAGAAATATCAGGAACGAGAATTTGTTAACGAGCAACGAAAGCAAACGTAGAGAACAAGCAAAAAATAGAGAAACACGAGAAGTTGAAAAGTAAAAGTACAAGTAGAATCTTGAAAGAGAAGTGAAAAGAAGAAAGAGAAGGAGGGGAAAGGGAGTGAAAGGGAAGGAGGAGAAGGCCGAAGAAAAGAAGATGTTACAAGAAGATGTAACAGTGTAAAACACGTAGGAAAACGTAGTTAATCGGAACTCGAACAGAAAGACTGAAAGATCTGAAAGAAAAGAATGAAATAAAAAAGAAGGACGAGGAAAGGGGGAGGCAAAACAGATAGTTTGGTGAATAGAATTGGAATTAGAATACTACGCGTAAAGGTATAAAAAACGAAAATACACGGATAAGAAATCATAAACATAAAAAACGAAGCTACCTAAACCCCGGGTTCCGCTCCATGTAGTTGCTTGATCCATGTTTGGATCTTCTCTACCTCGTCTTGTAACAACAACACGTCTAAGCATCCTTTGAAGTAGTCTGACGTAAAGCAGTTTTTCCTGGAAAAGATTTTAAAATACAAATGCTAAATATAATCCGGTGAAATCGCGACGTGTCGTTATCTTGTGTGCGATTTGTCCTAGATCTGAAAATAAATGAAACATTCGCAATTCACTCTCGCGCGTGTGGAACGCGCGTGCGAGGATTTTTGGATAACCTTCGACCCACAAATTTACATTCCTTCGTTCCTTCATCGTCGGTGAAATAACAACTGGAGAATATATATATATATATATGTATATATACACATACTCCCTTCTCTGCAATTATCTCGCAATTATCAACATCGACGTTCGGAGTGTGTATCACTGTGTTTTGCTCTTGCGAAAAGCTCGTGAAAAGCATAAGCTAATAAATCGGTCGCACGTACGTGTTACAGAGAGAGAAGAGTTCTCTTCGATTCGTAATGGTTTCGTAATTTGAACGAAAGAACGCCATTCGATCGTGCATTATATCATATCGTACGTTATATCATATCATCGGCTTGAAAATCATTCTGATTTGTTTAAGAGGATATTTAAGAAAAGTCGAACGGTAAAGGAAAAAATGAGACGATCGCAGATATATAATCGAAGTAAGATCATGCTTGCAGTAAAATGAGTGCCTTTTTTTTTCTTTTATCAAAGGAGAAGACGATATTTGCGACTTGGGCGAGCAAAGGCATTCGAGATGAAAACGCAAGCACACTCCAAGTAAGTGTTGGCGCACAAATTCATCCGTCGATGGTTATCCAAATCCATTTACAAGATGCAACAAACGCGCGAAACAAATACATAGACGCATATATATATATATATATATATATATACACGAATATGGTGGACAAATTAAAGTTGAAATTAGATAGATGCAAGTTTTTGTAAATAATTACCTGCACAGTTGATGCAATTGAGGTTCCCGAAACAGGTTATAACAGTCCTCGCAGATACGATCCAGCCGGGCAAAGATACTTTTATCGTATATACCCTTACATTGAATGTCGATAAACGACCTTTTACCCAAAGGATGTCCGTTCAAGATGCCAGCGTCCGTTAAACCGATGCACGACGAAACGAGTAACAGGGTGACAGACCAGGCTAATACAGAGACAAGTTTTGGGCAGGGTATCGATGCAGTTGACACGATCGACGATTCGCTTGGCAGCGAAGGTAGCCTCGAACAGGAGGTTTGTTGCACGCTCCACGGATACGACGATAAGTTTGACGTCGACCACGTCGCCGTTGACAGCGGTACAAAGATGGACGTTGGCGACGGCGACGACGTTGGTCTTGGCGTTGAAGACGACATCGTTATAGATGATATCGACGTAGCTGATGATAGCGGTGTGGGTGGGATAGATGGACGGGACATCGAGAACGGCAACGTTAACGATGACAAAGATGATGGCGGCGGCGGCGGCGGCGGCGACGACGACGACGACGACGACGACGACGACGAAGATTGAAGCCTCTGTTGCCGATGCATAGTCTAAAAGAGAAACAAAGTAAATAAAGATGGACGAATGAAAAAGAAATGGAAAATGTCAAGCTGGAAAAACTCTAGTTAATAGTAGTTTGAGATTTGCTCGAACCCAAGTCGAGACCAATCGTTTAATTATACAATAAAACTGTATCAAAGAGAAAACATGTGAAAAGCAAATATTGCGAGAGAAAAAAAAAAAAAGTTGGGTTTAAATTCATGTCTTGAAGCACGCGAGATAAGCGTCAGAGGGAGAGGGAGAGGGAGAGGGAGAGGGAGAGGGAGGGAGAGAGAGAGAGAGAGAGAAATGAAAAAATGTGTCAAACTGATCGATTATTGTCAAAGTGCGTGTACTCGTAGTCGGTGTACAGCAGCTACGGTAGATACGCATGGATTTCATACTTGTACGCGTTGGAGCGTGGCCGCGCGTTCTCTTTCTCGAATCGAGTCTTCCTCGAATTCGAAAGCATTCGAAAGCATTGGAGAGGCAATAGAGGCTGTTGGGCGTTGAGCGTTGAGCGTTGAGCGTTGAGCGTTGAGCGTTGGGCGTTGGGTCGCGCTCGCCAACAAGAGTGGTCGTCGCCTCGTCGCCTCGTCGCCTCGTCTCTCTGGCCTCTCTGGCCTCTCTGGCCTCTTTGGCCTCTCTGGCCTCTCTTGCCTCTTTTTACCGCAGCGTGACAGTAACAGTAAGAAACAGCGGCGACAAGTAAGTAAGGAGAACGAAAAGGAGAATCAAGACAATGACAACAACGTCGACGACAATGACGATTGAGAGCAGCCGTGCTCTGCACGGTCGAGCATATGGTATTTCCAGGCTGGACAAACCGAAAGCAATTGGCGAGGTAAAAGTAAAGATGTAAAGCACTCCTAACCAGTTCCGCGGCAGTGGTTGTGAATGGACCACACGCAGGTAGGCCCCACCTGTAAACGTCCTGAACCGACAACTTCATTAAGCGGAGCTGAAGCAGCACAGAGCGGCGGCGCAGCACGCTCGGCACGGTACTGCATAGCAATGCGCGAGCGAGACGAGGGGAGCCTTCTTATGCGCGGCGATGCGCGGCGATGCGCGGCGATGCGGGGCAATGCGAGATTCTCCAACGCACGACCGTTTCTTTCTTCTTTCTTCTTTTGCCTTCGTCTCATCGACGGCACCTGTACACGCCGAGAGAACGGGCAACGTTTCGCTCGGTTCTCTTTTTTCGGAACATAATCACTGCTCCCGGGTGGGATCTTATTTTTAGCCACCGACCGATTCTTGGAACTCTCAAACCGCCCCTCCGCCCCCCTCCACCCCTCCAACCCACTCTATATCGAACCCCCACCTGGTAATTGCCTGCAGCCCGATAATTTGCCTCTGAAGTCGCTCTCGGTCTCAATCGTTGAGCATCGTCTCACGGATTCTCAGAGAGAGAGAGAGAGAGAGAGAGAGAGAGAGAGAGAGAGAGAGAGAGAGAGAGAGAGAGATATCATCCATCATCCATCGTTCATCATTGTCGATCGCCGACCATCGATTGCTGATCGCCGATTGCTGATCTCGTTGATCGTTGATCGAGCCTCGATAATTCATCAAACGGCAAACTGTCTTTTCTGACAGTTTGCGACGATAGTCGATAATTGATCGATTAAAACTTGACTCATCGTTTAGCAGATTCATAATTTATAATTCCATACTTTAAATCCAAACAAATTTCCATTTTCGTTGTCGATGCCAATGCCAATGCCACACGTTACACAGCCATGCGGAGGTAGTAACGCGTCGATTTACGATTTTAAAATAGTCCAACTATGGGCTTGTTCTTTGCAAAACGAAAGTAGCCTCGCTACTTGACTCGATTGAAATTCTATTTCGTTTTGCTTCGAATCGTGAGAATAAAAAGCTACAGATTAACTCGCGACGAAAACGATGCAAGACAGAAAATAGAAAGTAGAAAGTCGAGAAGTAATGGGGAAGCAATCGGGGAAATAAGATGGCTGGGCCGAGGGAAAGATTTTGGAAGGATGGAGAAAACATTGAAGATTGAAAAACGGAGGGATGAAGAAGAAAAACGGATGGGACGATGGCGAAATCGGTGGAATACGACGGGTAAAGAGTAGAAGATATAGCGGAGAGTAGAGAGCAGAGAGCAGAGAGCAAAGTGAGTGTACGTAAAGGAAGAAAAAGTCAATGGAGACCGGTTACTCGACAGGTGAGGTCTTTCCTCGGCCGAGCCATGCACAGGTGTGCAATCTGTAAATCCCCCTTAGCAAAAAACTATACACTCTTCGGCACCGCTTCACGGCTCTGTCGCGCGCTGTTACCCGAGTCGCGCTAGTTATACAGTATTGTATATTCGCACACACGTATTAGACGTAATAGACGCTTGCGCGCGACCAAATGCAACTCTTTCTTTCCTCTTTCGACACGCATCTTGAACGCTTGCGTTCGAATCATTGCGTACACTCGAAATATAGATTCTCCGTATGCTCAACCTACTGCACCTATTACTACCTTATCGTCAACTACCTTCCGATATAACGTAACGTAACGCAACGCAATTGGGTGAAAAAGACAGATAACCCAATTGGAAAACGAACGTCGTTTCTCCAATGTTATGCAATGTTATGCTTCCTAGAAATCGGTATTGAAAGTTTGTGGAATAGGAAACAACCGGCTTGAATTTCGTTCGAACTTACAGTGGAGACGTTGGGATTACGTTAATGAAAAAGAAACCAAAAAAAAAAAAAAAAAGAAAAGAGAGAGAGAAAAAGAGTTTCCAGACTGTCAAGGTTATTAGCCATTCACCCGAAGGAGGAAGAAAACGCACGGGTGAAATGCTCGGATGCTCCGCCCTTGCTGCCTCGCGGCTCTTTCTTCCTTTCCAGTCACGTAGCCGTTGCTACCATTCAAATTTATATTTCCCGACAAAGGATCGCTGTTTTTCGAACGAGCGAGAATCAAGCCCTCTTCTTCCACGCGTGCAGCACACGGCGCGGACGAAACTGCGTGCTCGGCCCCATCGAGAGGCGAGTCGAGTCGAACATTCACTTTTCACAATAGAGGTTTTCAATTTGGTGGAAAAAAGAAAAAAAGAAGAGAAAAAGGAAAAAAAAAAAATACTAGTCGCTCGTGTCTAAATTATGCGCGGCGCCGGGGCCTTCTCACGATTCTTCGGGGAAGGGGGCGTTAAATCATCGCGGAAACCGGTACCCGAGGACCGTTGTTGGGATGGAAAATTCCTAAAGCTGAAAATGACCGGGCGGACGATAGCGAACGGGTCCCAATGGGGATTATTCGGACGACGTCCGGACGATTCTCGGAAACGCGGGGCCCGTTTGCTCCTCTCGGCGCGTCCCGATGGCCAACCTGATGCCAAGCAACTTCTATCCGAAAAAGACAGAGTGAGAGAGAGAGAGAGAGAGACAGAGAGAGAGAGAGAAAGAGAGAGAGAGAGAGAGAGGAGGAGGTTGCGCATAATCGTATATTCTCACCGGCTAACATCGTTTCGACTAATTGCCACTTTGTGCATACCAACGGAACCGGTTACGATCGATGATTCGAGCGGCCTCTGATAATGGTTTCGCTCGGTTGGCCCGATCGATCGGGACGGCCGCGAGAACCCTCGCCCAAACGAGAAGGAGGGGCGTTTTCTTCGCTGATCGTGGTAATAAATAAAGTAATCCGGCAACATTCTGCTCCTTTTTCCCTCTCTCGTCCCCCCCCCCCCCCCCCCCCATCCTCTTTTGCATATATATATATATATATGCATGTGCGGCTCGCGCGACCGATTTTTCGCTTTTCGAGGGGGATGATCGCGAGGCTCGAAATATTTCGATTCGAAACGCGATGGGACATGACTGATCGTACAATGGCCGATGATTAAGTCCTCCGCGGTCTGAATTGAACGATAATTAAGTCTCGGTCGCTCGAAATTCAGCTGACGTAACCAAATATTGACCCCATAAATTCGAATGATTGTCGAGTGTCATTCGCCGTTCCGTTTGGTTTATTCAGGATCCGACACGGGCTCTGTCATGCCGGGGGGAAGAAAGGATTTCATCAGTCATTGGGAACGTATAAACATAAATAACGATACGCAATGAAATACAAACAGGCGGGAGAGGAAAGGTGGAGTTGCGTCAGCCGAGTAATTTCGTGACCAGAATTTTCGAAGTCACTCCAAGGGAACAAATACTGTCCAACGGGTTTTAGCAACAGGGGATTAACTCGTACAGATGACTCGGTTATATCGAAGGATCCAGAGTCCTTGGTGAAACTTCGGACACAATGGAAAATTGCACGCAATGCGTGGGACGAGCAACAGAACCGTTGAGAAGAAAAACAGCAAATCAGCGGTGGTCTTACAGTTTTCCAACGATACGCGAGTGTAATTTGCGGGAAACACGTGACGCAAATCCTAGACGTTTCTCTCGAAAACGTTGCGTTTAACCAGATAACGCCTAGCATGTTTCAGGCTGAACCTAACAATATGCATTGCGCAGCGCGAGAAGTTTTTTTTGCAACAACGAGAGATAAAACCTCTTTAAACAGGATTGATCTATTTGCTTCATTAACCCTTGGACTATAGACGCGGCGTAGATCACAATGGATCACTCTTGATCTAATCGGCACAAGGTTAATATACCAACATCTGTAATTTCTTTCCCCTTTTGAAATCAATATTTTTCTTACATTATTTTTCAAAATACAAATGGACAATATGCCGACAGAATGTTGTTTAAATACTGTTTATTTACGATCAAATGTTCGTACCGTGTTCAAACGCCTTTTTCGAGATTATTTTTCAAATTGTATACAATTATGCTTTTAAATAAACAACATACCGACAGAGTATTGTTACAACAACCGACAGAGTAATTGTGTTAAATATTGTTCATTTACAACCCAATGTACAAATATCTTTTCAATATTACTTTTCAAAATACAAATGAACAATATACTAACAGAGTATTGTTACAATGCACCGCGTGTGCAAATATCTTTTTTGGCATTATTTTTCAAAATTTAAATAAACAACATACCGACAGAGTATTGTTCATTTACAATCAAATGTACAAATATCTTTTCAACATTATTTTTTAAAATATAAATGAACAATATACCAACAGAGTATTGTTACAATGCACCGCGTGTGCAAATACCTTTTTTGACATTATTTTTCAAACTCTAAACAAACAACATACCGACAGAGTATTGTTCATTTACAATCAAACGTACAAATATCTTTTCAATATTATTTTTCAAAATACAAATGAACAATATACCAACAGAGTATTGTTACAATGCACCGTGTGTGCAAATATCTTTTTTGACATTATTTTTCAAAATTTAAATAAACAACATACCGACAGAGTATTGTTCATTTACAATCAAACGTACAAATATCTTTTCAACATTACTTTTTAAAATATAAATGAACAATATACCAACAGAGTATTGTTACAATGCACTACGTGTGCAAATATTTTTTTTGCATTATTTTTCAAAATTTAAATAAACAACATACCGACAGAGTATTGTTCATTTACAACCATATATACAAATATCTTTTCAATATTATTTTTCAAAACATAAATAAACGATATACCAACGGAATATTGTTACAATGTACCGCGAGTACAAATATCTTTTCTTTTTCGAAATGTAAATAGATAATATACGAGAATATATTGTTATTCATTTGCAACCAAATATTCGTACCGTGTGCATTATTTCTCGAAATGTAAACTCCACCATTCAAATTCCACAAACTCGACGAATTTCCTTGAAATTCTCTCTCTACTTCTTGCAAAGAAAAAAAAAAAAAATCGAAGCAAAGTACTATTCGTTCGTCGCAGTCTCGTTGAATTGTTAAATTGAGCCAAACGAAGGGAGTCAACTACTGTACCGATCGAGGAGTCCATTCACTCGAAAAGGAACGAAGGGGGACGAAGCCGAGAAATCTTGCGATCGTGCGAGAGTCGTGATCCGTCCGCATCTACCGACATGTACGCCGGATTATATATTCGACAGACACGTGTTCGCGGAACCACAAATTTGGCCACCGATATATCCCCTCCCGGCCCGTTCTCACCGTCCCGCCGCAATTTATGCAAATTCTATATTGTTCCTGCGCCGCGAATGACTATTGTCTTCAGCGTAGTGCCTTTACGGACGATAAAACGTTTTTTGCGGTGCCCGCCATTATGATCGACCGATTTGCTTTATCTTTTCATTTCTTCTCTCTCTCTCTTACTCTTCGTCTTGCGGTTTTTGCGCCACGATGTTTTGCTGCACA